AGCTAAAAGGCCCCCTGGCCTCCATCTCTGCAGAGACGGAGGAGGAGATGTGCAGGGAGAGGGGGGAGCCGGGAAGAGTTCTTAAATGAATATATGCATGTGTCTCTCCTGCTAATCACTGGAATGCATTTTCAGGAGAGGTAAGCACAGGGATTAGCTGCAGGACTCCCATTAATGTTAACTTTATTTCAGTAATGAGGTGCCGAGGCATGGAACAATCACGGTGGCTAACACGGCATAATCACAGTGATGAGATACGCATGCTGGGAAGAGGGGAGAGGGGGCGAAAGTCAGGAGGGGGGAAGTCGTTTGCTGGTGGGGACGATGACACTGCAGAGGCAGCAGGAGCCACACTGGAGAGGCGAAGGGAGGAGGCAGGTGAACCCTGTGTTGATGGGCTGAGCTGGATAAAGGAAGGCCCTGGCAGGTAGGAAATAATAATAGCAGCTCCCCAGTGAGGTCTTAAGTAGGCCAGGCCAGGTGAGGAGCCCTGCTCTTCTCATGGCATCCTCATGAGGAAATGGATACCTGGGTATTACTACCCCCATTGTAGAGATTGGCAAACTGAGTTTTTAAAAAGTGAAGACATTTGCCCAAGCCATGCAGTCAGTGGAAGAGTCTCAGTTTGAAGTCGTATTTCTCCTAATTAGCTACACTTGACAGTATGCCCCCATCGCTATGAATATAAGGTGGGAGAAATAACCTGCAAACACCAGATGCTAAAAGAACAGTACCAGAAGGAGGAAGAAGTGGCTTTGCACACGGACCCCCTACCTCCATGACACTGGTTTGCAGCTGTATTTGTAGGGCTCACCACGCCCGAACACAGCCGTCACCTGGAAGTCTCAGCGATGCTGAGAGAGGTGATGGAGAAAAGGAGAATTGCCCTCATTAGCCAAGTTCCAAGTACCACCTGCAGTCAGCAAAGAAATCCTCAAGACACCCACGAACAGAAGCTGGAATATGTGCTGGCTCTCCAGACCACACAAATTCTTCGGTTTAAGAATGTCTGCCGGCCAGAGACCAGTCACTCTCAACAGAGCCTGGTGAGACCATCCAAGGATGGTCTACAGGCTCATCTGGGCACCTGTGAAAAATGCCACTTATCCCCGGAAGTGCTTATTCCGCTGGTGGAGGGGCTTTGGAGCCGCCCTTCCACCAGACCCCTGGCTTAGGTTTCCCAAGCTTTCCCTATGCTTTGAAGAGCTTGCAGGTGGCCAAAGCACAGCATTTCGATGTCCATGACCAGTTAATGCACACTCTGTAGGCCAGTCCTGCCCTAATCCTTGACCCCATCCCCTCACAGGTTACTTAGAAGCATGATGTTTGTAGCATTCAACACAATTACAGAGCACCTACCAGCTCAAAGCTCCATTCTATGCCCTTAGAATATAGCAGGGGACAAATCTAAGTCCCTGCTTTCCTAAAGCTTGAATTCCACTGAAGAAGACAAACAGATTGGACAGCCTGTCGGAGAGCGCCATGAAGAAAAATAAAACACCTGCAGGAAAGCAGTGATTCTCAACCAGGGCGACCTTGCCTCTCCAGGGTCAGTGGGCCATGTCTGGAGTTATTGCTGGGCATCACAGCTGGGTGTGGGGGGTGCCACTGTCATCAGTTGGGGAGGGGTGAGGGACGCTGCCCAATGTCTTACAATGCCCATGGCAGCTCCCACTATAGAAATGGTCTGGCCCCAAATGGCAGTAGTGCTGAGGCTGAGGACCCTGGCCCAGAGAACACAGACGTCCGGTCTTCAGGGTAGGGGTGAGGGAAGGCCTCTGGAGAGGGTCATTCAATTAGAGATCCAGGGAAGGATGTCTGTGGGCAGAGGGGAGGCACCCACAGAGCATATCGCCTGGTGGGGCTGGCGATTTCAAGGGTATGTGCCAGGGAGCCTGGGGCTTCCCGGCAGGATGGTGAGATGCTCTCTCTTTCCTTTCCCAAGGGTCCCTCTGCCTGTACGGAGCAAAGGGGAGTGGGAGAACCAGCTGGGAGGCTGCTTGCCTCTTCTGGACCAGAAATGTAGGGGCTTGAATGAGAGCAGGCGAGGCAGGGTGGCAGGAAGTGGTCTACTGCAGAACATGCCATCGAGGTAGAACCTTTGGGACTCGCTCATGGATTAGAGGAGGGTGTGGCACAGAGGACTCAAGAGTGATGCTTGGAGCCCCCTCTCCACTAGGTCGCTGGTACAAGTGTGCCCCTGAACAACGTGACTCCCTGCCCCATCCCTCCCCTTAATCCGGTGGTTCTCGGGAACACGAGGCTGTGTCTGGGACATCACGGGACATTCGGACACACTGGGACATTGGGCCATGTCTGGGACATTGTGGGACATCGGGCAGTGTCTGGGACATTGTCACTACTGGGAAGGAGGGCTGCTACTACTACCTAGCGGGTAGAGGCCAGTGATGCCGCTCAACGCCCTACAGTGCACAGAGCAGTCCCCACCTCAAAGAGTCGTCTGGCCCCAGATGCCAACGGTGGTGAGGCTAAGGAATTCCTCCCCGCCCCCAGGCTGGACGCCTCCTCTCAGGCGGCGCCCGGCCCTGCCAATTGAGCGGGACTTTGTCAGAGCCTGGAGATTCCAAATCAATGCCCGCCGGTGGCTAAGGTCCACATTAACTATATCTCACTTGCTTCTGACGGTGACACAGATCAGATGCTGCTGCCGTCGCCACTGCCACTACACAAAACGAGACTGTTGGAGAGCAAATTCATTACCCAGCTGTTAAAGAGCGACAGAGCATACACACATCTCTCTCAGACGGGGGACCTGGGAGCCGGCCCTGCTGCATGATTGAGTGACTGCCCGCCTCCTCCTCTCGGTGACCTTGACGTGCCGGGGCAGGGCCTCCAACGCACAAGCTAAAACTCTGAAAGGCAACACAGGCGAGCTACAAATGGATGGGTTACTGTGTTTCATGTCTCCTTTGCCACCAGACTTTCATTGGAAAAACAACAACAAACCTCCATTTTGGGGGCTTAATATCCCAGCTGCTAGGACTCAGATTCAGCAGAAGAAAGAAAGTGTGACATCAATGTAGAGATCTGTTTGTATTCTGTTGCATTTGCTTAAAAACCGGTTTGGGGTCCGCAGGTTATTCTTGCTGGCTGGGACCTCAAGCAACAAGCGCTCACACTTCCAGGTGGTATCTTTAAGGAAAGCTAATTAGAATTCTTGGCACTTGGAGCACGAAACATTTTACAATTTTCTTCAAAGCAATTTGCCAACATTAGCTAATTAAAACACCCAGCCTTCCGTTGAGGGACAATGGGAAAAAAGTAGAATCTTCATTTCTCAGCATCTGCCGGAGGGTAAAAGTTCCAAATTCCTGTTGCTTCCACTTGGTGGAGGTTTTTCTCTAAAGGTGGCCTTTTGTGGTTGTCAGAGACCTTCTTGTGATCACTGAACAGACTCCGGCTTTTCTAGCACTTCATCTCTAAAATAAGGGACAACACTAAGAAGGGAGGGGGTTTGAGCAATTAAGATCGGCCGGCTAAACCAGATGTCAGTACACTATAGCCTGCAGGCTGGATCCAGCTTTTTTTTTTTCCCCACCAATTGTCCCTTCACATGTGCCTTGACCATGACCTTCTACCTGGGAGGGTCAAACTGCCCTCGGCCCTGACTGGATTTATTTCCTGCACCCATCTCCAGGTGTCTGTGTCATCAAAGGGGCTTCTGAGATTCAGCACTCAGGCGGAAGCAAGAACCAGCATAAGTTCATGGGGAGAAAGGCTTCTTCATACAGGATAAAGAGCTCAGCCGGGACATGTGTGGGCAGAAGGGCGGAGGGCCCGGGAATGAGCACAGATGGTCTTCATTTGCAGTCATTTCTTGCCTAATGCCTTCACCTCACATCCAGATGCAAGGCTGGGTCTGACCCCCACTTGCTGGCCTCGTTCAGGGTGAGTTCAGGACTCAATCCCCCGTGTTGGGCACCGCCCCACTGAGGCCTCGGGTTCAAAGAAGAGCACAGGATGGGGCCCACCAGGTCCCCAGGCTGCCTAGGATTGTTGGGAGGGGTCAGGGGTCACCGATGGAGTTAATTTCCTCTGGTCCCGAGGTGTCCAATCGAAGGACGGACGTGACTTGTTGGCTTAGGGACGGCAGAGACATTCGAGACACCCCCTTCCATTTCTCCCCCAGCCTCACTGGCACATGCTTATCTGCCTTTATCCCAAGCATTGTTTGTGTAGAGTAGCCTGAAGGGTCCTTATTCATCCAAGACAAAACTGCTTTAGGAGGGTATAGGAAAAGCTGCTCGTGGCCACACTCCCAACGTCCCCCTTATAACAAGGCCCCTCTGCCAATCGACCCCTTGAAGAAGGAGCTGGTGGAGGCAGAGGTGGGGGTGACCGGCAGACAGGAGGAGGGCACAGCCTACAGATGCTGCACAGGCCTTTCAGGATCGGAGGACAATGCAGGTGTGCCCACTGGCTCACAAGCCGCCACGCACAGGACTGGGGTCTTGCAGGACAGACCAGAGTGGGCTCAAGCAGACCACTAACTTAGGGTATCGAAACAAAGCCACCACAGACTCCTGCAGTGGCCAGGCTTTGAGCTTAGTCCAAACTCCTCATTTCACATTTTGGATCCACTCGACTGCATTAACCCTAACCCACTAGATGCTTCTGGGAGGCAAAGGGGGCTTCAGAGTCTGTTCACTAGCCTGAAGTCACAGATTCATGGCAATTCAGGGTTGAAAGACAGGGATGAGTATTTGCTGAGCGTGGCTACGTGTAAGAAACTTTACACACGTCATTTATTTAATCCAAAAAGAGCCTGTGAGGAGGATACTGTCATACTTATCTTACAAATAAGGAAACAAGCTCCAGAGCAGCTAAGTACTATGGTAAAACGATGCTTCTTGTCCAGGGCAGAACTGGGGTTTAAGCTGGGGTCCTTCTGGCTGAGCCCAGCGCTCCACTTCCTCCGTGGGGTCCCAAGCCCAACACCCTTTCCCAATACACACACCAGCTCTTTGCAAAGCTCATTGTACACACTTTAAAAACAGCTTTATTGGAATACAGGATAAAATGCACACCCATTTCAAATGTATTTTTAGTATATTTCTTGGTATATTCAGAGTTGTGCAGCCATCTCTACCATCAACTTCAGATCATTTTCATCACCCTGAAAGAAATCCCACATCCATTAGCAGCCACCCTTAATTTCCCCCATATAGTAATCTGTTTCCAGTCTAAATTCGCTTATTCTAGACATTCTATATAAGTGGAATTATATAACATATGGCCTTTGGGGACCGGCTTCTCTCACTAAGCATCACATTTTCAACAGTCACCATGCTGTAACTTGTGTCAATACCTCACTCCTTTTTGTGGCTTACTCATATTCCACTGTGTGGATGGTCCACATTTTTATCTGTTCATCTGTTGATGGGCATTTCGATTGTTTCTACTTTTTGGTTGCTGTGACTAACACTGGCATGAATATTTGTGTAGGTGTTTTTCTGCAGTCTTTTAATAATCACATTTTTACTCCTTTTATTAAAGATTGAAAGTTATAAACACCTGTTCTCTCATTGAACAACAGTGCAAATATTCGTTGAAATGACTGAGGCATTTATGATAGGAGAAGCAGTTAGGTGTGGTGAAGAGAAAGTAGGTCGGGAGTCAGGATACAGAATTTCTTTTTTTTTGTCTTCAATAAAGATTTATTAAAATAGAGTATAAGGCATTATATTGCATACTAAAGGTGCACATCCCAATTGTTCCATCATTTATTAAAAAAAAAAATTTGTTGCCCATTCTGTCCTAGAAAACAAAGATAAGTCACTTACCTTCCTAGGGCCTCACTCTTATCAGCAAAGTGGGAACGATACATAGACCTGGGTATGCCTGGGAGGGCTGGGCAAAGCAGGCAAAATGATACACCTGAGAGAGCCCTAGCCTATCAAGGAGTCAACAAGCATAATAATTTGACTCGGATGACACAAGAAATGACTTGCATTCATTTGCCTGTCCACACTGAAGGTAACGAACTGCTTCCTACTCGATAATAGAAATGTGTAACACACTAGCAATTGCCTGTAGAAGGAGAAACACACAAGCTTCCCTGCCTTATAGAAAACAGGTTCACTTTCTGTAAGTGGTTGAAGTTTTAAACATTACTTCAAAAGGTGAAAAGACCTTAAAGCAACAGGAGTAGGTCAGAATGAAAAGAATTAATTGGTACCTGACAATCTGCCATGGAGAAAGGGAAAAATAAAAAGACCTTCGGTAAAACCTTGAAGTTTCTGGCATTGCACTTTACTGTCTTTGCCAGAAGATGGCGACGTGGTCCCACAAGGTTGCAACACTGCAACACTGGCGATCGAAGGACAGGGACTTAGAGGGCAGCTAAGTTGTGTTGTATGGAGACTTCCGCTCCTTGTCAGTTGCATTGCAGAGGTCTGGGCACCACTCAGCACATTCGTAGGGGAGGAAAAAGGACATGTGGAACAATGATGTGTTACAAAGGCTACAGGAATCTAATGCAATTTGCAAACGGCTTGAGGTATAACTCCCAATGTCACCAGAATAAAGATATTGAGGGTGAGGGTGGGCGTGAAGACATTAAAACAAAGACCATTATGCAATTAGTATCAAACAATTATCTTTTTATGCTACATCTATTCCAAGGAATATTATCATTCATTAAAAATCAATTAGTATCACAATATGATACCAAAACCACAAGCAACCAAAGAAAAATTATATTGAACTTCATCAAAACTAAAATTTTTATGCTTCAAAGAAACCATCAAGAAAGTGAAATGACAATCCATAGAACAGGAGAAAATGTTTGCAAATCATATATCTGACAAGGGACTTGTATCTAAAATACATAAAGAAGTCTAACAATTTATAAAGACAACCCAATTTTAAAATGGGCAAAGAATTAAGATAGACACATCCCTAAAGATGTCCATGTAGCCACTAAGTACATGAAGAGATGTTCAGCATCATGAGCCATCAGGGATACACTAACTCAAAACCCCCAACGAGATACCACTTCATCATCATTAGGATGGCTACAATAACAAAGACAAGTGTCGGCAAGGGTGTGAAGGAAGCGGAATCCTCGTACCCCATCCTCGGGTGGGAATGTAAAGTGGTACAACTGCTTTGGAAAACAGTCTGGCAATTCCTCAAAAGATGAAACCCATATCATATAACCCAGTAATGCCACTTCTAGGTATATACCTAGAAGGGAACAGAAATCAGATGTCCACCTAAAACGTACACAAATGCTCAAGAGAAACATTATTCACAATAACCAAAAATGCCCATCAACTGATGAGTGGATAAGCAAAAGGGCGTCTATCCATATTGTGGAATATTTAGCCATAAGAAGGAATGAAGTACTGACACATGCTACAACATGAGTGAACTTTGAAAACATGCTAAGTGAAAGAGGTTAGTAACAAGAGACTACATGCTGTACAATTCTATTTATGTGAACTATTCAGAATAGGTCAATAGACAGAAGGTAAATTGTTGCCACAGGCTGGCAGGGAGGAAGAATGAGGAAAGACTGTCAATAGGTATGGGGTTTCTTTTGGAGGGATGAAAATATTCTGGAATTAGTGGTAGTGGCTGCACAACTTTGTGAACAGGAAAAAATACTGTATACTTTAAAAAGGTGAATGTATTGTATATGAACAATTCAACTAGAAAAATAAAATTTTAAAAAAGAACAAAGTACTGATACATGCTATAATTGGACAAGTCATGGAAACATGATGATATATGAAAGGAGCCAGTCCCAAAAGATTATATATGATTCCATTTATATGAAATGTCCAGAATAGGCAAATCTACAGACTAAGTAGATCAGTGGTTATCTAGGGCTGGAAAGATCAGGGGAAATGGGAGAGTGATAGCTAACAGGTACGGGATTTCTTTCTGGGGTGATGAAAATGTTCGAAAATTGATTGTGGTGATGGCTGCACAGCTCTGAATAAACTACACTAACATCATTGAATTTTACACTTTAAATGGGTGAACTACAAGGTAAGTGAACTACAGCTCAACAAAGCTGCTACAAAAAATAGAGTTCCAGGGTTGCTGGGTCACACAAGGGGGGAGAGGCGGAGGGGTAACACGGAATACACCATTCTGTTACTACGTGAATGATGCCCTCTGGAGTTGTGAAATGTGGGTGTTCACCATCTCCCTGGATCAATGCATTCTTGGTAGGCAGTGACCCTGGTCCCCTAACTCCACAGCCAGTCTGGCATGCAGACATCTTTCTCTGCCTTGTGATCACCAAATCAGATGTCAAAGCCCCATTCAAGGGCCATTCACTTGGTGACAAAAGGGTAAAACAGGGTTGCAATTTTCTTTCTTGTTAAATATGTGTGCATGTATACAAAAAGAGACATATCACATAGTAGTTATCTACAGATGGAAGGATTATGAAAGTTTTTATTTTCTTTACTTCTCTTTCTATAATGTAATGTGTCACTTTGTAATTAGGAAAAATGCATATATGGACTTACGCATCAACTGTGTTTCTGTCTCACATCTGCATGCTGGCATTCCACTTTAAAAGTGTCAGTCACTCAGTCACAGCCAACTCTGCAACCCCATGGACTATAGCCAGCCAGGCTCCTCTGTCCATGGGATTCTCCAAGCAAGAATACTGGAGTGGGTAGCCATTCCTTTTAAGCTAGTTCTACTAATCAGTATTATATATAAATACATAGCTTCCTCAAGTCTTTTCTGTTTTTTCATTATTTACTTTTATTTATTTGGCTACACCCCGCCAGGTCTTAGTTGGGACACACATCATCTTCGACCTTCATTGAGGCACAAGGGATCTTTAGTTGTGGCATGCAAACTCTTGGTTGGAGTATGTGGAATCTAGTTCCCTGACCAGGGATCGAACCCAGGCCCCTGCATTAGGAGCAGAGACTTAGCCACTGAACCGCCAGGCAAGTCCCTCCTCCAATCCTTTATAAAGAACCAAGCTGGCATGCTGCAGTCCATGAGATCGCAGAGTCGGACATGACTTAGTGACTGAACAATAAAGGTATACTAGTGTAGATCTGTGAATGAGGCAGGATTCAATAAATGATGCTTGGCTGTCCAAGCAAAAAACGTTCGCTGGAAATCCAAAGTGACAGTTTATCCTAAGGAGGATGGTAACATCATCACCTAAGAATGTTTAGGTATTAATACCATGTTCCCAAGACCAGAAGCTTAAGATCAACCTGACTTTAAACTCCAGGAGACTTTTCCAGGTCTCTGCACTCCCTAGCACTGAGCTAGGCAGACAGTAAGTGCTGAGTGAGTTCCTGCTGAATGAATGACCGGAGCTGACAATCCCACATCACCCCCATTCGAAGAGCAACAAAGCTGAACCCAGGGTTTCTCCACCTCGACCCTGCTGATGCTAGGCAGTGGACAACCCTCTGTGGTGGGGGCTGTGCAGGGCACTTGAGGATGTGCCTCAGTTGGAGGCACACAGACACACACACGTCCTGACAACCAAAACTGTCTTCATACGTTGGCTTATGTCCCCTGGGGGGCAAAATGCCCCTCTGGTTAAACACCACAGGTTTAAAGCAGCACTTCTCAGGTCTTTAGGCTAGACCCTGAAACTAGAACCCCTGAAGACCAGGGCTGGAAGGAACCTTGGACATGGTCTCAGGTACACTTTCATAGAAAAGAAACACACTGGAGCCAAGACGACTCCAGCGGTGCTGCTCAGTGTTGCTACCCGCCGTGCTATGCTTTGGGTTTGCATAGTAACTCAGCATCATTTCCTTCAAGGATTGTTCTCAGTCACCGCAGGCTGCCTTAACAAAATACCACAGACTGGGGAGCTTAAAGGACAGGAATTTATTCTCCTGCAGTTCTGGAGGCTGGGAAGTCTGAGATCAAGGCGTCAATAGGTTTGTTTCTCCTGAGGCTGTTCTTAGATTGCAGATGGCGGCCTTCTTAAAGCCCTCTTTAAGGGCTTTCTCTCCCTCTTCTCATAAGGACATAGTCCTAGTAGATTAGAAACCACCCTCACAGCCTCATTTTAACTTAATCACCTCTTCAGAGGCGATTATCTGAACAGGTTACACTGTAATGCACTGAAGGCTGGGAATTCAGTATATGGATTTGGGTAGGGGGAGACAGTTCAGACCATTATAAGGACTCTGATCAGGGAAAAAAAGGAAGTTACCAGAGCTGTGCTGAAAAGCTAAAATCAACTTTCAGTGCATTCTTCAAACACTCTTCCTGGTAGGACCAGCAGCAAGAAGGTGAAACATTTTGCTTCAATCAAGGATGATCCAAATCCTAGGCCAAATAGCAAGCTTTAAAGCAAACAACCCCTCCTCCTTCTCAGCACTCAGCCCACAGTGGCACTTCCATCTCAGGGGCTAAAAGTCAAGGTCCTGGAGCAAAAAAAGATCCGGGTTCGACCACTATCCTGGTTTAAACCAGTAAGACGATGTTTCCCCAAAGAAATTAATCTCTGAGTTCTGTAGAATGAGGATAAAAAGACCTACAACTTCATAAGCGTGGTTGTTGAGATTAAGTAAGAGGCCTTCAGCACCAGAAATGATTGGAAGACGGTCGCTACGATCACAACGTGCCTAGGCTGGGCCCATGTGCGCCTTCTGGGGCTCTGCAACTAGCATCTATAACCTGGAGAAAAATATAAACCGTGTCAGAGCCGGGCTCCTAAAATGAAGCTGAGAAAGAACACCTGCCTCAGGAGACACTGCCGTTGTGAACGTGATGGTGCAAATGCAGGATGGTACGTTGTCAGCAGTTCCCAGATGTTTTTTTGTCGGGGTAGGAACAGTCAAGAGACTATCCTACATTTCACCTCGGCAAATGGGAGAGGAGGAAGAAGGGGACAGTATGGGCCCTGAGTTAAGCCTGAGGTCTTCAATGGCACCAGCAGCAGATTTCCTTTTCTTTGCAAAAGGAGATGCCTGAGTCCCTGTGCACAAAGTCGATGGGGCTCTGGGAAAGAGTCCTGGATCGTCTTCACCACCAGATGGTCCTTCGTCTATAGGAACAGCTTCATTGTCCCAGTGAGAGGGAGCCCACATGGGCACACGTCTCACGATCTCCCAACAAGGACTACGCTGACAGAAAACCTAAGTAACTGGTGCCCCCAAGTGGCACAGAGAGCAACTGTTGGCATTTGTGCCCCCAACACCTCCTGCTCTCTCCTCTCCCCTTCCTCCCCTCTCTCCAGCTTCTCTTTCTCCTTTTTAACTTGACAGAGTGCCCATGAGCAACGTTTAACTCGGCAGTCATCCTTAAAGATCTGAAAAGACTGCGATGAAAAGACAGGGCTTTGAGATCATATTGGACTTGACTCCATAGTTCCTCCCTCCGTTAAATCAGGTCAATGAGCTTATTTGTGTCAAATAAATGAGCCTGGCTGACGGCTAAGCGGCTGCAAGACCATTTATCTCAGGCCTCCAAGCTGGCATGCAGCAGACTGCAGGCCGAGCTCTGGAAGGGCGTGGGTGTCAGGGCTTGCACTCTCAGAGCACGCCCTGGATTGCTGCCCAGGCAAAAGCTTCCTCAGAGAAACTGAGTCCAGCACGTGCGAGGGACGCCAGGCCTCCTGAGGCTCTGGAGGGGAGCACAGAGGATTCCAGCTCCAAATAGCAACCCACGGAGTGTCTGGAACATCTTTAGAAACTGACATCCCTCTTTCCCTCAAAAACCATCAGTGTGAGCCAAAAACTTGACAAAATTTGGCTGCCTTGAACTCAGATCATCCTTTCCCCAAACCAGGTATCCAGAAAGATGGTCCCCCTGTGTCCTTCCCAGTCATTTTATAATTTTATTTTTTTTATTTAATTGCTGCGCTAAGTGATTCACTGAAATGAACGACATAGTTGGGGAGATCTGGAGCGGGGCTCCCATCTTTTTTACCTTAGCTCTCTCGAGAAACTGGGGTTCTGCCGTGAAGGTTTCAACCTCCTCACGTTTCCTGCAGGTCAACTCTGGCTGAGGTAGGATGCCTGTAATTTATTTGTGAGGAACACAAAGACTCGCCTCCCCACTGTGTAAAAATCAGACAAAGAAAAGGGATGTAGAAAGGCAATGCCAAACTTGTGTGCAGTTCTAAAAGGGCTTTCAACCCTACCCTGACTTTATGTTAGAGGCACAGATGATACAATTAAAATGTACACTTTTCCCACTCTGTAAATTAATTAGCTATAATTTGAGTTAAGCCAACCCAACAGGAACGGTTTATTTTAAAATATTACACAGCAAGATTCTACCTTTATTTATGTACTGACACAAAATATACATTATATACAAAAAAAAGGCAAAACTTTACACCAAAACTTTAATTAGTGGTTATCTCTTGCCGGGGAGGGGAGGGGGTGGTGGTGGTGCTGGGGATCTGATAATTTAATATCTTTGTAATTTCCCGTATTTTGAGATTTCTGCCTAGTAATCACAAAAGACATGAAAGGGAAACCTTTTACTGAGGCTGACTACTTACTTTTACTGACTACAGAAGCCCTAAATAGGAATTCCAAGATGCTCTGAGTATCTCAGGTTAAGCATGTCTAAATAATTTAGCACTGTGTTAAGGTACAGCTACAAAGCACATTCTGGGCCTCTCTGCCAAAAGGCAGCTGTTTTTATGATGGAAAACGCAGCAGCTGTCTTCACAGGTGCAGAGCAGCAATACATGATAAGTTGGTCCCAGCAGAGAATAATATGGTGTCTATTTAATATTTGAGGAGAAAGAGGCAGAAAATGGTGAGCCCCAGCTGAAATCTTCAAGAGAGAAGGGGAAGCCCCAGTCTGAAGAAAACAGGCTCCAGATGGCTGGTCTCCACTTATCCTCTGAGACTCAGGGCCAAGGACCAAGTTGCTGGGCTCTGGTCTTGTTTTATATGTGGCAGGATCTTTGGCACAAAAATCAGAATTTTGGATCTGCAAGACATCTTAGTAATCACCTGCCTCTGATAAATGACAAAACCAAAGCCAGAAAAGTTTAATTTACTTAAGGCCGCTAAACGTCTGTGCTCTCAATAAAATTAGGATGCTACTCACACACTTCTGCTGTTACACACATATCCTCCACGATGCTACATGCATACTCCTCCTCAGTACTAGTGACATGTGGCCACCATAGACTGAGATCTTGAATTTCACTGATAGCCAATACCACTTTTTCTCATTTAGCAAACATTTCTGACTTTGATAACCCAGATGCAAGCTGACCAGAGCTTGCCTACACTATGCTCCATAAAAATATGTAAGAATTTAAAAAGTCCAAAGACTGGAGGAACTACTGACCCTACCAAAAACTAGGAAAGTACCCATTTACAAATAAAATGCATTGCTTGCAGTGATACAGTTTTGCTTTTGGTTCCCTTGAAGCCACTGACCTTGCAGTCCTGGGAAACAATATAGGACCCGTTTAAACATCTGACTGACAGTTGGGCCCACTCTCTTTAAGTGGCTAGATGTTTTGTTTCTTTATAATATTAAAGGCTGTACTTCTATTTTTAAAAAGTCCACCACCGCAGCTCTACAGCAGAGGGGAATCGAACTGTACACATGAAGGTATGTGGCGAGGGGCTACCAGGACACGGAGTCAGCTGCACAAACACGATGACCCCCGCTGGTCCCCACTCAGGCCTGAGGGGGCCACCTGTTCCTCTTCCCACCTGTGAAAGCAGACCGGACGAAAAACATCACAACCACGTGACTGAGTGAAAACAGGGATCCCGGTACTGTCTTTACGCTGTGACAACAAACCCTGCATGAAGAGTCCACACAGGCAAGGGGCTTGGAAGGCAATGGACTGATGCCAGAGAGTCAGGGAAAGTGCTGTGCAGGAAAGAACTGCCACAATTCCACTTTTCCAAAAGCTTTTCCTTTTCATTATTACTATTCACTTATGTGGTACTTATTTATAGTAGAAGGACTAGTTTTCCAAATGGGATCTATAGTGACATTTCCCCCACCCCAAAACCCTCCTTGCAAAGGGCTGCTGCAGGAGAACGGGTAGCAGAGGGGGCTGTGAGTAAACTTGAGGTTATTCTGCCCACAGGAGGGTGTCTGTGCTTGGGCTGTGTCAGCACACAAGGGACGCTGATGCAGAGTAATAAGCCAGTTCCTGGAGGCAGCACTGGGCTGGTAGAGACCAGCGAGGAAGCCGAATGTCCTGTGGGATTTCAAGGTAATTTAATCAGCAGCACTTGGGCACAACAGAAGGCAAGGGCAAGGAAATAATCAAGTCAGCTCTCAGCTCCTGGTAGTTTTTTCTCTTTAACTGAAATGGAGGAAATGTGACCAAGAGTAGGGCCTCTCCACGTCGGCACCACTGATGCTTGGAGCCAGATCATTCTGTGTCAGAGGGGCAGTGGGGTGTTCAGCAGTATCCCTGGTCTCCAACCATCACACCTACTGACCACCTGGCAATCTAGACACTGCCAACTGTCCCCTGGGGGCAAAACTGCCCCTGTTTGCTGCCCTAGATCAAGTGGAAAGGTTAGTTTGTTAACAAACAAGCCACTTGCCTCTGAGAAATGCAGGGCTGACAAAGACAAGAAAAGGGGTTTAAGGCCTCCTTCAGTGAAAAACGCTCTGTAAGATAAAGACCAATGAGAGAAAAACCGGCCAAGGTCACAAGCAGCAGTTCACTACATCAGAATGATAAGATGACCAATCAAAATATGGGAAGAAATCAGATAAACATCAATTAGAACACTGAGCTCCATCGGCAAAGAGTTAAACAATACTATGGGGTTCTTGGGTATGCAGAAAGAGACACTCATCTCATACATTAGGTGGGAGCATAAATTGGTGAAAATCATTCTCAGATAAACATACAATCGTGCCCGTGAAAGCATATCATCAGTGCATTACTTGCAGTAGTCAAAAAAGAAAAAAGTAACAAGCTAAATGCCCTCAGCAGGGGATTAATAACATTATTGTATATCCATGAAACTGACACCATGTGATCACTAAAGATTATTAGATAGGCCTGTATGTCACACAGAAGAATGTTCATTGGAGGACTGCTTTCAAGAGGAAACAAGATTCTTGTATCTGCCTAGAAAGTCATGAGGGAAGAGAAAAAAAAAACACGGGCTGATCTCTAGATTGCATGATTTTAGGTAATTATTACTTTCATCTTGACATATTTCTAAATTATCTCCATTTAAAAAATTATCTTTAGCATGAGTTCTTCTAAAAATAGTAATGAAAACAATACCCAGAACTCTGTAGTTCCCTTCCTTCCACCCGAGGGGCCCACCCATTCCCAACCTTGCTGACCACCTACTGTGGGGCCCCTACTGGGTTGCAGATGTGGACTCTGTGCCACAACTGAGCCCTCACTCACTCCGACACCTCACAACAACTCCACGAGGAGCCATGGGTGTGGTCCTGTATCACAGAGCAGGGCCTGGGTCAAAAGAGGAAAGAAGACTGCCCAAGGCCCCGCCTTAGTAACAAGCAGGAGTTACTGACTGCAAGGCCACAGTCTCTCCAGTCAGTGAAGAGGAGATGAAAGAAGCAACGTTTCTGCCCGTTTACAATTTACCTGCAAATCCAACGTTGGGAACAGTTTGCTCGGAATCTTGCACACACCTCCCACAGCACCTGTGCAGCCTCACCAACCGAGGCGCTCCCTGGACAGCCTCCAAGACAGCTCAGGGAGCAGGCTGAAAGCTGCAAACCCTGTTCGAAAATCCTATCCCCCGCTTTTACAAGAGCTGCAGAGTTGGCCCTTCAATACCAGCTCCAACGCTGCCAGGTCCAGGGCCACCCTGAGTCCCAGGCTGCGTCGAGGCAGGTGGCTCTTTCTGCACAGCACCCCTCTCACGGAACGTTTCTTTCCCTATCAGGATATATCTTTACAGCTCCACCAACAAGCATGGCAGTTAAGATTCAGAATTGGGGGAAGTGCTTTAAATTAGCCAATTACCTTTCACCCCAAACATTTGGAATTTAATACATTTTCTTCTAAAGGAATTCTCATTTCATCTTTGATCTTTTCCTAAAATCCAATGTGTATCACACACTTTGCTGAGCTCTGGGCATATAAAACTAAGACAAGATTCCTAATTATGGAAATTTTCAATCAAAGGAACCAGAGACAAACCAGAGACGGGAGTAGAGAGGGGTACAGGCTGGAAGCCTAGGGAGGCCCATGGTGTTCCAGGTTTTTGGGAGGCTTAGCTACAGTTTGCAGTACCGTGAGTTTCCAAAAACAGTTAACACACCTCTTCACTAACTACAGTACAGAGAAACATATTCCAGGACTGAATGAAAACGACCTTTGATTATCGACCCAATTTGGCTACTTAGGCCACCTCTCCCCTCTTCCAGTCTGGACAACCCAAATCTATATGCTCTCGGGGGAGTGTTTACAAATGAGTCAGCACTGGAGCAGGTGAGGGGCACTGGGAAGGACGGTGGACCCCGGAGCAGCAGATGAAGGTCGTGTTCTGGTTCTGTCGTGGGGACCCAGGGAAGTCACTTCACTCTATTACCTCATGTACAAGGTGGGAACAAGCGAGCTTAATTTTCTACCTAAGTTACAAAGACTGTGAAAGCAGTGAAAATGCAAAACAATGTACACCAATTTTCAAATACAGAGTAAAAGGCATGGCTGATCTTTGACATAAACTGTTTCCACAGTAAATCTACTGTGAGTTATTGCTCAAGGGTTCAAATAAGCTCAAAGGAGAGGCTGATCAGTGACAACCACCAGGAGACAGGCTGAGTTACCAAAAGCAGTGAGATGATGAAACAGGCAGATGTACTCACGCTTTCACAGAACACACACAGAAGCCAAAGAGCCCAATGCACACTAAATAAATTTCTTGGGATCTAACATCTAAAAACATTTGCCAGACAGTTTACCCTCTAAGAAAGTGGACTTAGGGGGACAACTAGCTTGGGAGGATAAGGGTGAGAAATAATGTGCAAGAGTTAAGGGAAATTCCAACATGCAGACTTCAGAGATACAGAGGAAGGCAAAGCTCCACTGAAATAAAAATGCTGAAAGCGGGCTGTAAAACCTGTGCTCTGCTCCAAGGGCAGCAGCTGAACAACCGACAAAGAACGAGGGAGACCTTGACGGATCCAGAGGTTAGTGAAGGGCTCTGGAAAAGAACTGTGTGTGATAGCGTGACTTCAGAGAGCAAAGAGCTGTGTTATGCGACAGGCACGATGTCTTGATCTAAGCTCCAAATGCTGCTGGCATTGACCAGAGGGTTATTGTTGTACCAGAAGCACAGGAGGCCCTGAGCAAGCAGACCAGCGCCTGTGAGTCCTGCATCCACTGACGGTAGATGTCTCCTATAGCACCTTGACCGAAACTTGAGTTTTGTTGTTCTTCTCTGTAAATCAGAGAAAAACCAAATGTCTGTACCTGTTACATCTCCCGAAGCTGAAAGCAATGAAGGACGGCCACTTACAGTCAGTTGCGAGATGTATCTTCACTTGGGAATCACCTTAACACAGGGTTCCCATGTCAGGAGAGGAGGAGGCCGCCCCGCAGGTGACTTTCTTGAGACTCCTGATGTTCCAGGGCTGAGAAGACCAGTCATTTCAACCAGGGTGTAGGAAACAATTACAAAACCCTCCAGGATGACAAGGCAGAATTTCTGGTTACAACAATGCATGCACATCAGTAAACAAGCATATCCAAATAGACTAGGAAAAAACCTGAGAGCACACAGTGCCAGATGCCAGAAAGTTGGCACAGGAAGAGAAGGGAAGAGCATCTGAGTTTCTAGACAATTTTAGACGTCAGGGCGCACTCCTGAAGATGCTGTCAAAACAAAACCAAAAATAAACCACCTTGAGAGAACATGCATGTTTTAAGATGCCAAAGTTTTAGTGGGTGAAGGGACGATTTCACTCATGAAACTCAAGAACACAAGAAAACAACAACAAGAACAACAATCTCCTTGAATATATTCAACTATCAAGGCAAACATTTTCCTACAGGAAACAGAATTTTCCCACCACTCCAAAGAAGTCCAATAAATAACTTTACAGTGAAGGGCCCAGGGAGAACACACAAGGGGGCCCACAGGTTCCCAAGCAGCCGCAGGGCTGAGGCGCCCAGACCGCCGACGCCTCCACCAGGTCACCTGCCGTTACTCTTTCTCGAATGCGACCCGCTGGCGTTTCCAACTGCTTTACGGAGCAAGTCCATCTGGTCAGCCCGGGGGCGAGTGAGGCCACAGAGCACAACACAAGAAGTGGTCATGATCAAGTCTTCTCTCGAAGACCAGAGAAAAGCTTCAGGCTGCAGGCTCTTCAGCAGCACGTCCTCCCAGAGGTCACGCGGGGAAGAGCTCGGGGGGGCTCTCTCCGTAGCAGTACTTTGCTATGGGGTCCCTATAGGTGTTCTCGTGCTGCACGCTCTGTCGGCAAAACGAAGAGAAGAGCGCTGTGAGAGAGTGGGACGGTGGCCAGCACACGCTCCCCGCAGGAGCCCAGGTGAGCCCAGCTCCAAGGCGTCACCAGGGCACCCTCTGCAAGCAAGGCGGATGCTCAGCACGGAACGCCAACGAAGGGCATGAGAAGGACAGAGTGTCACAGGACCATTTCTTTTACACACACTAGTGAGTTTTTTAAAACCCAGCTGTGACTGGGACAACTTGAGACAATAAACTTTCCTCAGATTATTTTAAGTCAGATTAAGATCCAACAGGTGTTTTGCACTTGACCCTGTGCTTCAAAATAATTCAGTCCCCGGCACTGCATCCTGCAGAGATGAAGGAGATGCACTTCCAACTGCTTCCATCAAGGTTTGTGTACCTAAGGGCTGACACATGAGCAAAACACCACGGTACCACACAAATGACCACACAAATGCTTGACCACATCTGGCCAAGCAAATGAAGTGTGACTACAGATAATCAGCCTCGATGCCTAATTTTTCAGCAATTTGTCTTCATACAAGCAACTTGAATTTTTGGCTAGTCGAGAATTCATTAATTAGTCTAAGACCAAGCCTAAACATCTAAATTGTTAAGTATTAACCCAATTTATAGTCATGCAGCCAAATCTGTTTCTTGGGACACTGTCATAAAGGCAACTTGGCAGCTGGGAATTTTCTCTTTACAATGAAAAAGCAAAGTCAGAAAGTTCAGCATCTTCACTCAAGTTTGGAATTAACTCCTGAGTTTTATCAGTTAAGGAAAGAAAACACCCGGCCTTTTTTCTATTTTCCATTTCTCAGAATGAGAGTATGAATCAAAGTCATGGGTTCAAACTTCCTCCACATTTTCTTTAGTCTAGTCAAATAGTAAAGCTCTTTCAGCAAAACAAGGCCATTAGGAATTTCTTCATGTTTCAAATACTCATTATAATTCCTGAAACATTTACCCAACAATGCTAGATGCTGTAAGAGCAAACCAGAGACATACAGAGTAGCATAAAACCCAGAAGAGGACTACAGAAATCTGGCAGAGGTTTTAAGAGCTTCAGAGAATGGCAAATGAGTCATATATCTCAGACAGAGCCAGGTCAATCTCGGAGACACCATGAAGGAAAGCCAGAGGAAGTGTGCTTGTATAATGAACAGATCTGGTGATTCTACAGAGAGAGCTCCAACCACCACCCGATCACAAAGGCTGAGAGCAGAGGACGGGGAGTCAAAAGGCAAAAAGGTTCAGACACTCTCAGCAGCCGGTGCCATGCTGAATGCCCACAGAGCAAAGCATTTAATGACAACATGCTAGAAAGTACTGAAAGCTTAACAACCTACAGATTTATCTGTGTATTTTTCAACACCCACCTGCCCCATGCCCTTGAATCCTAAAATAAATCACATTTTTGTCCCAGAATAACTTCCCACTCTAAATGAGTGGTGGCTGGAAAGCCTTAGTCAAATTTCAAAGGCAGAGGAGAGAGCTTCTCTCAGGAATTTGACTAGTAGGACTTAAAATGCAAACAAGCTAATCAGACAAGGAAAATGCAAGTTAGTTAGACCTTGATTTGAATAAATATAAATATTTTACATCCCTAAATCATGTAAATCTCATGTTGACATTCTAAATACCGTCGGCCCTCCGTATCCACAGGGCCTGCATACATGGGTTCAATCAACCGGAGATCAAAAGTATTTCAAAAAAACTCCACAAAGTTCCAAAAAGCAAAACATGGCCTTTACGCTGTGTTAGTTATTATAAGTAATCTAGAAACGCTTTTTTTTTTTCCTTTCCTAGAAACACTTTAAAGCATACGGGAGGATGGAGGAAGGTAATATGCAAACATTATGTCATCTTATATGAGCATTTAGGAATTTGGGGTCCTGGAACCAAATATCCTCAGATACCAAGGGATGACTGTACAATCAATCCCCCAAAGTTCCATTTAAATCTCTTCACCATTATCACCCCACCAAAGGGCCCCCAGAGCGGATTTTCAAGTTTTCTTCCAGACTCTGATTCCCACCAGCCCACCCCACCACCAGAGGCATCATGGCTTCTGACCTGGGATGAGGTCCTGCATTTAGCCAAACACAATTCAAAGTGATCTTCGACTGCCATGAAGAGGTTCTGGAATGCCACAGCTGCCCGGTTGAGGAAGTGCTCCAGGAGGAGTTGCTGTGGAAACAAAAGTTAGTACCTATAATAAATTCCAAACTCAGCAGCACAAGGTAACCTTGGAAACTTCTCCTAAACTAAGAGACTGCTGATGCAGGGAGGGGAGGGAGAGAAAGAGGGGCTTACATGAGCAGGAGGCTGATGTCCTATTCTTTAGACATCTGACGGAGACTACAACAGCCCACTCTACCAAAGCACAGCTGGAGGAAAGAGAACTACCTCCTTCCCCTGCAGACAAAGGCTACCTCATAGCAGCCATTTCTGACATCCAGACAGGGTTCTCTTCTATTTTCAAAGAATCCCACAGAAAGATTCTAATGCTCAATGTGAAATGCAAGCAGAATAATTAAAGGAGATGCAGCACAATGAGCAAATTTCCATACCTTGCTGGGCTGCAGGCAGCAGGAGACACAGTACTCGTAGGCGCTACAGCAGCCATTGGGCAGGCAGCCGTCACAGCAGTGCTGCTTCGTGCCAGGGACGTTGACGTTACAGCAGCCATTCACCAGCAAATCTCTCCTCTCACAGACGTAACCTGCAAGTCAGAGACGAAACCTGAGTATAAACCTAGCAGTCCCCTGCCTGTCCACCGGGGGCGATCACGAGGCAGCAGTGAAAGGCCTGCTCCCCAAGAACACAGACCCTGGAGTCTGGAGTCAGGGGCATCCTAAAGACCATCGAGTTTGGAGTCAGACAGTGTCTAATCAGAGCTTGCTACCTGCATGCAACAGTTTATAGGAAACACAGACTCCTATTTTATAAGTAGGCTACATACATCCTAATCTACCTAAATGACCTTTTAGTCTGCGGTCACATATTTGATTTAATCATCTCATGGCCTTTGTTTCCCTGTTCTAACCTATGCAAACCAATTTTTCATCTACCCCTGGAGAAATTTTTTTCAAACTAAATTTGTTTGGAGTTTTTTTTCAAACAAAAATCTGAAGAGAGGAAAAAAACAAGGCGTTCATTCCTGAAAATGAGATCCTCCTAGATAAAAAAAACAAAACAAAAAAAACTTCACACACACTTTTTATAAATACCTTTCATATACTTGCCATTTCACATCTAACCTTTAGAAACTCATTTAGGCTATTTTTAAGTATACAGAGCAGGGATTCAATTAGCCCTCAGCATTAGGGAATGCCAGTACTCTAAGACCCAAGGAAGAAAAATCCTAATTTCCTCCACTCATCATCTAAATATACCCCCTCCAACTTAGTTCATGTATTCATATTCAACTTTAAGAAAAGAATCTCCTCACAAAAGCTAACTTATTTTTCATGCTGCTAAAGAGACAATTCTCTACATCCTTCTGGGAGTGGGACAGAAAAATGTAAGAGTAAGTCCATGAGGGACACCACCTGACCCATAGGCAAACTCCCAGGTGCAGGCCCAGACCCACAGGTGCACACAGGTGCAGAGCAGCTGTTCCTCACATCCTTCCATTCCAAATGCCCCAGCTTCATAATCCTCAGAGAATGAGACCTCATGAAGCAAGAGGTTGTTTTCAGAAACCATTCTGGAAAACAAAGTCTGTGCAAAAGCAGGAGGCACCAGTAAAATAACAATGGAAGAGGCGAGAAGGGCCCTCACTTCATACTAGGGAAACTGAGGCCTGTGAGAAGCAGATCCCACTTATCTGGGTGCTGGTGCTTCTTGTCGCTGCTGTGGTAGTTTTAACTATGCAGTTTTGTCTTCTAAAATAAGAGAGGATGATCCTAATGCCACAATAAATGTTTCTGGGATTCTTCCTAACTATTCTTACTCATCATCTTCAGAGGAATTACAAATTAAAAATCCAAATAAGTCAGCATGTTCCTTAAATTTCTGCCCCCAATGATAAATACAGAGCATCTTATCATGTAATCTGTCAGAAAAATGTAAAACATTACCCTCGTTGAAATGATCTTTCTGCCCTTTTCTCTTTTCCATGTTATAAGTGTTGGCATCTCGGGTCTTCTATTTTTCCCCAGTACAATCTGTCAATATTTAGCTTTTAAACCAGATCGTTCTAACTTCTGGTGAAAGAAAGCCCATCAAGATTTTTCCTTTTGCACTTGGAGAAATGCACTCTTGCAGACATTATTTCCAACAAGGAGTCCTGTGAGATCACAATCTCAGAGTGTGCTGCTCCTGACTGAGAAACCAACTTATAACCTTTGCAAAGTTTCTAACTCTATTGGTTATCTTACTGAGTAAGGTATAACTCTGGCAACACTCATGTTGGTGGCATCTGCTCACTAAAATGCAAAAATTTCCTGCAAGTTTTATTACACTGTTTATCTCCTCTCATGTATTCATGGAGGTAATATAAAACATGGTTCTCGGATTTTTATTGATTAGTTCTTGGCACTTTTTACTTAAGAAATCTGAGTGTCTTTGTCTCATTTGAATTAATCAGAGGGAAATCATTCTTTTGCCAGCTATGACCAAAGGAAAAGACAAACTGTCATTCATAACCTTATATTAAATAATAAAGTCAAGGAATAAGAGTTCAAGCTTTCTCACCGGGTATCATACAAACTAAAGTCTATAAGAAAAAAGCACTGAATTCCAGCTTCAGTCCTGGTCTTAGTCCTAGGTCTACCCCTGCCTGACTAGCTGGGTCATACTGTAGAAGTAACTTCCCTTAACTGAACTTTACTCCATTAAAACAAAACAAATGTTATTTGCAACTTAATCCGTTTTTTCAATGTACTCTTAAAAACAGAGCTCAGCACTGCTTAGTTTTCCTGATTCTTTCCTTTAATCCCAAATAACCTCCTATGCTCTGACACTTTGAGATCTTTTAGGAAAAGATTTTTTTTCCTTATTTTACTGAGGTTGCAAACTTTAAACACACACACACACACACACATATGCACTGTAGTCTCATTTTAAAGACAGTACCTGTCTTCATTTTGTTGAGCTTCATCATGTATCAATGAAGACTCTAGTTCAGGGTTACTGTTATCAATCTCAGTATTGTTAGGTTCATAATTCATTTGTTCTGAGACTCTCTGACAGCAAAATTTACTCTTGAAAAACAAACCAGATTATTTGCAAACCACCAGCTGAAAAAGGAAAAAAACCCACAAAACAACTGAGGAATTCTGACCACTGTTTGGATAGTCGACATTAAGGAAAAGTGGCACCAGTCTACAGGAGAGGAAGGGAGCCAGCCTTACCCAGTTCATCTGTGATGAGGTGTTTCCCCTGAATGGAGTTCCGGCACTGGTTGCTGGGCCGACTACTATTGCCCAAATTAAACTGTACTTTCCACGGGATGGGTTGATCGTGGTCTTGGACCTGGAGGAGATTCCGATCTCTCACTGCCCTCTCCTCCTACAAAGAAACCATAAATGAGAAGGTTAAACTATCGTTTCTTGCATATTCACCAATTTTTCATATAAACTACAGTAACAGGACAAAAACAATATAAAAAAGCTTGCACAACAGAAAACTTCACTTGGTGTAAGAAAAGTTTGGGCCAAAGTCATTTAAAAAAAATGCAAAATAAACCTGAAGGAAGAAGTAATAAATTAGAGCTATGCTTCAAAACTTACATAAATGCCCCTGGATTAAGTACACATTATAAATGTGTACAAAAGCATTAATTTCTTCGAAAAATTTGAAGGGAAAGAGTTTTGAACTTTCTGATGGCAAATAATTTAAAACATTTTTTATGTCAAAGTAAACATTTACATTGTGGAGTAGAATGTAAAATCTGAATACATTTTTAAAATAAAAGAGGAAACTTCAAAGAAACTTTCCAACTTTTCATTTCAGACAAACTGGAACACATCACTGGTAACAAGGTTACTTTAATTTGCAGTGAGGAGTACAGTGGTAAACTAATGGGAACACTGAATTAAAAGCTTGATTTTAGGTGCAAGAAGCATGGAAACTTGCAAATTTTTTCTATGAAAAAATACTGAGTATATGACCCTTGGGGCTTCCCAGGTGGCACCAGGGGTCAACAACCTGCCTGCCAATGCAGCAGACATAAGATTTGATCCCTGGGTCAGGAAGATCCCCTGGAGGAGTGCACGGCAACCCACTCCAGTGGTCTTGCCTGGAGAATCCCATGAACAGAGGAACCTGGTGGGTTGTAAAGAGTCGAACACGACTGAAGCAACTTAGCAAGCAAGCAATGTGACCCTTAGAATATATCTTTCTTCACAAAGGACACCCACGTCAGACAGCCTTTACCTAGACATGCAAAGTGAGGAGCTTCTCTAGAGGCAAGAGTTTAGACCTTTTCTCCTAGCCCTCGCGTCAGTTAGACTTTCCAAATTGCCTTGTTATACTCTTAAGACAAACTAAGTAAGGTGCCCGAGTGCCAAAACACAAACCATGCCATCTTCTGATTCAGGAGACAGCCATCTTCTGAATTACTCAACCTATCTATTGTTGGAAAACAAAACAATGATAAGACTCCCTCTGAGAGAGGTTGTGTATATCAGTGTGTGTATATGGGTCCCTGGTGGCTGAGTGGTGAAGAATCTGCCTGCAACACAGGGTTCAATCCCCGAGTTCAATTCCTGAAGATTCCCTGGAGAAGGGAACGGCAACCCACTCCAGTATTCTTGCCAGGGAAGCCCCATGGACAGAGGATAATTTAACCATTCTACCATTTTAATAGAGCTCTGTGGCTTTTGCCATTAAAGAATGACCTGTCATGTGTCATTGAGCAAAAGGGACTAACCTTGAAAGTTGATGACAGAGGTTATACTTTAAGACAACAGAAAAGAGTTATTTTCTGGGAAGAGTTATTTAACATTTACAACATGCATATCCACATATACTTTGGCACAGCAAACACATTTTTGAAATCTAGCCTCTAGAAAGTACCAATGTGTAAGGGTGTACTAGGATGCCCACTATAGGACTGTTTATGTGATAGAAAAAAAAAAAAAAAACAGGAACCCCAACCACAAAGAAATGATTGAATAAACATGGATAGCTATGGCTATTATAAAAAAAAAAAACAGACATGACTGATGTGTATTTACCTACAGCAGGAGTCCTTAAACATGACTAGAATGTTAGATTATATAAGACACTTAAATTCTGATTCCTGAGTCCAACTCCAGACTAAGTAAAAAGCTCTGTGGGTGGGACCTGGGAATCATTATTTTTTCAAAGCACTCAGATGATATTAATAAACAGGGCTGCAGATCACTGGTGGATGTCCTTAGTATATTAAGCTAAAAAACAAGATACAAAATAATGTGCATATTACCATATGTTGTATTACAATAATAACTGTATTAATGTATACATACAGGTTTGTAAGAGCTGAGATAAAGGCATGGAAAGATACACTACAGACCATTAACATGGAAAGGATGGGTGATTATTACCATCTTTCATCTTTGGAAAAGTTTCATTTTGAATTTAAAATAAAATGATAAAAGTTATTAAAAACATGATTATCATTAACAAGAGGAGACACTAGTGAGGAATATACAGGAACTCTACCCTTGAAACGTCTCTGTAAACCCATAATTATTCCAAATTAAGTTTATTATTTTAAAAAACCATGATCACCAATCTGAAAAACATAAATATCCCACAATCCCATTACTTAAATAAAACTGTAGCTATTTCTGCATATTAACTTCTAGCCTTTGACCCCAGCATTTACACTGCAAATTAGGATGCTTCACATTCAGCTCCTCTTGACACTAATTGGATGGTAAATGATTCAAGTACCTACATTATCTTGATAATCATTTTCAAGGCTATATAATAATCCATCATGTTGATGTGCTGTAATTTAGTAAACACATCCTCTACAGATCAATGTTTCAGCCTGCCCCAGGTTTCTGTTATCATAAACAGCACTGCAATAAAAATGGAGACCTTTCGCTTATTCTCCTGCATCATTTGTGGTAGGAATTATTATTAGAAGTAGAGCCAATGCTATAATTCAGTTCAGTCACTCAGTAGTGTCTGACTCTTTGTGATCCCATGGACACCAGGCTTCCAGTTCATCACCAACTCCTGGAACCTACTCAACCTCACGTCCACTGTGTCGGTGATGCCATCCAACCATCTCATCCTCTGTCACCCCCTTCTTCTCTTGCCTTCAATCGTTCCCACCATCAGGGTCTTTTCCAATAAGTCAGCTCTTCACACAGTGCTAGGTAATTTTCCAAAAGTTATATATGCCACTTATGACATTACCAGCATTTAAATAACACTGTGCCACACCAGTACTGAATTTTGTTCCTTAATTTACTAAAGGTAAAAGAGTCCTACCAGGTGGCTTTAATTTCTATTCTGCCCCCTCTCTTTTGGGATTCCCTGGTAGCCGAGCTGGTATAGAATCCACCCGCAATGCAGGAGACCCCGGTTCAATTCCTGGGTTGGGAAGATCCCCTGGAGAAGGGAACAGCTACCCACTCCAGTATGCCGGCCTGGAGAATTCCATGGACTGTATAGTACATGGAGTCACAAAGAGTCGGATATGACTGAGCGACTTTCATTTTCCCCTCTCTTTTGTTTCTTTTGAACTAGCATCAGCATGAACAAGATGGGTTATACAAAAACATCAGTATTACTTGGTTGGGGGAAGAATGGGAGTTAAATGCAGAAGCCTTGGGAATATGGACAAATCACTTAGGTGCACACTGCTTAACCACCTGTAAATTCATGCTCCTCTGCTCTGTTGAGGCTGTATCAGTTAAAGAGATAACCAAGCTATGTGCAAGCTAAACTGCACTTCAAACGCTACCCTAGATAAATTAATAGCCATAAAGACTTAAGAGGCTGGTCAAAGTACAGTAAACTGGATTTACAGTATAGCAAGGTTGAAAGTGCTCTTCAAATTACTCTCAAACTTTGAAAGAAAACAAGCGTTCTTGGACAAGGGCATTCCAGAAGGACCTCTTCCACATTACTATGATCCTGGTAAACAGGAAGGCAATGCTCCCAGCACTTGAGATTGTTTTCAAACCTGAATATTCACGACCTTGCCAAAAGGACTGGGTCAGAGTTGTACAACCAGAAAAGACTGTACAAGACAGTGTGTAAGACATAATGACAAATGTAATGAATTAGCACATGGTTGTTTTTCCAAAGATCCACTTTTACAAAGATGTGGTGAAGGGGCACTGAAGGGATTCCTTCACTGAACAGGCAGCATTAAACCTTTCCCCAACTGGTCCACCTACCCTAACAGGCTGTCTCAATTTTAAACATCCTCTCCCAATACGTTTGTATTTTCTCATTTCAGATCCATCCAAAGCCACCAAGTTCTTACAATGTGTTAAGGATACAGAAACAAAGGTAGCTGGGTTCTCTATTTTCAAAGCGCCTCCCGAATTTTCATAAACTACAAGCAAATATAGAAATGTTTTATTACTAATGTATATTACTTAATCTCTGATTCAAAAGGGGCTGTATTGATAACTGGGGCTTCCCAGGTGGCGCAGAGGTAAAGAATACACCTTCCAATGCAGGAGACACAAAAGACATGAGTTTTGACCCCTGGGTTGGGAAGGTCCCCTGGAGTAGGAAATGGCAACCTGCTCCAATATTCTTGCCTGGAAAATTCCATGGACAAAGGAGCCTGGAGGGCTACAGTCCATGGGGTAGCAAAGAGTCAGACACAACTGAGTGACAGAGCACATGAGCACACGTATTAATAACTGTCCTATTTTTCAGGAGTTAGCCTAAGGGTTAAATGAGATACGTGTCTCATGTAAGCAGTAAGGCACCTAAGCATAAGGCATTGTCATTAAAAGACTCACTTATGATTCTCAAAAGTAAAAGAAAAAAAAAAGGGAGATAAAGGCCAGAGGGAATCCCAAATGTCCAATATTTGGGGAATGACTAATAAATATAACCTGATCATGGAAAATTTTAGTTATAAAAACTTGATACTTAGAGCTTTTAAAGGTGGGAAAAATGCATACATGTTAAATGAAAAAAGAGTATGCCCCAATTATACGTTTAAAATATGAAAACGAAGAAAGAAAATACGCCCAAATATCATCAGTGAATCCCTCTGTTTTCTGAGATTAAAGATAACTGTTTTCCTTGTCTAACCTGTGCAGCACTTTACAAACTCTGAAAGGTATATGTACTTTGGTGATCAGTGAAAAACAGAACAAAAACACAGATGAACAACTCTCTGAGTTATTACACTTTAGACAGTGTCTAACTTGAAACCAATTTACATACTTTATTACTTTAAAGATTATGATGTTCATGTATTCTCAAGTAGTTATACAAACAGCCCTGACACTTTCAGAACTGCACTACCTGAACAACTATGAGAACAGATATTTACATGAGAGGACCTCTAAGGACCCTTCTGACTCCAAGACTGGGATTTCTTTAATCTCAGCTCAAATGCCCCAAAGAGTTAGGCCCACCTTACTGCTCTATCATAGTACCTTGTTTTGTTTTCTTTATATTACAAATTGTTATGTGAAATAATCCTGCTCATTTGCCATTTCTACCCCTCACCCCCTACAGAATACAGGCTCTTGGAGAGTCAGACTACATCTGCTTTGCCCCCCGCTGTATCACCATTATCTAGCAGACACTGCCTAGTGCAGCTGGTTTTCACTAAAACATGTTAAATCAGTGTGCCCAAGTCACCTGGCACCCAGCCCTCTCCCCCAATGGCATCCCCACCAAGGTCACTCATTTCTCTTGTGTTCCCATACCTACAATTTCAACTATCCCCCAAAGCATTAATTAAGAAGAAAACCAAAGAAAAGAGGAATTCAAAGCTGTAGAGAATAATCAACTATTCTCTAGGCAAAAAGTGACTGCATCTGCTCCAAGAGTTCAGTCTCACTGAAGCAGAGCTAAGGATCATATGAAGCTTTGGAGTTTTCCAGTCTCCTCTCAATTAATTCTAACCACTCCCACTCCGCCTTCCTGTCCAGTAGATAGCACAGCTCTGTTACAGATGGAGCCTGAGGGTAGGCAAAACGGAGCCCACTCGCCTCAAGCCACTGATCTCAGGAGTGCCGAAGACCAAAACAGCAGCAGAAAACAGAACCAGCAAGCAAACTCACAGGTGTGTAAGAGCATCAGTCAGATTGGGATGATGTTCATCTCACAGAAGTCCACGGACCCTTTATACTCTTAAAAATTATTCAGGACTTCAATATGTGGGTCACTGAGGGTTATGGCTATTGATAGTTATCATATTAGAAATTAAAATATAACTTCTTAAAACATTTTAAATAAGCTATTTGTTTAAAAATAACAATAATGAGCCCATTACGTATCAACAGTTTTTCACATGCGTGTGGGAAAAGAACATTTTTCAAAACAAAAATATGCATTTGGTGAGATGAGAAAATGTTTTTACATTTCTGCAAATGTTTTTAATGCCTGGCTCAATGGAAAACAGCTGGATTCTCACAACTCCCTCTGCATCCAATCTATTGCAATACACTGTTCGGGTTAAAGCTTATGAAGAAAATCTATCTCATACAGATGTGTAGTTGGAAATAGACTATTTTAGTGGTTTTTCCAAATAATTATGGATAACCTTTGTTAGTACATCAAAAACTTGACAAGTATAGTTTATTGAAAGTTCACTGCAAATGGTATGGCCAGTTTGGAAAACAGCCTGGCAGTTCCTCAAAAAGTTAAACAGAGTTACCAAGAGACCCATTAATTCCACTCCTAGGACCATATCCAAGAGAACTGAAAACCTATTTCCAAACAAAACCTTGTATACCAGTGTTCATGGCAAATAGTCAAAAAGTAGAAACAAGTCAGTATTCCTGCCCTGAGAATTCCATGGACAGAGGATCCTCGTGTGCTACAATTCATGGGGTTGCAAAGAGTCGCAACTAAGCAACTAACACTTTCACCACTTTCACTTTTTTCAGAAACAAAGCAAGTCTCCATCAAACAAAATGTGGTAGATGTCTACAACAGAGTATTATTCAGATATAAACTACTAATACATGCTACAAGATGGATGAGCCTTGAAAACATAGGCCTTTAAGTGAAAGAAGCCAGACACAGAAGACACACAGTACGAATCCATTTATATGAAATGTTCAGAATAAGTGAATCCATGGAGACAGAAAGTTGACTAGTGGTTGCCAAGGGCTTAATGGGCAGAAAGAGAGAGATCATGGCTAATATGTTTTTTAGGCCATGGGGTAATTAGATCCAAAAAAATCTACAAAACGAAAACAGTTGTGAACAGTTTTAAGGACTCACGATCATTCCCCGCCCCCCCACCCAAACATACCCCTATGATTGTGGCCATGGATCAAAAGTTAAATTAAAAAAAAAAAACACACTAGGTACACCAGAGTAAAAGGCAGTTGTAGTGAGAATTCCCTGGTAGTCCAGAGGTTAGGACTTTGCATTTTCACCCAAGGGCCTGGGTTCAATCCCTGGTCAGGAAACTAAGATCCCACAAGCCTCATGGTGTGCCCATCCACATCCACCCCTCAAAAAAGGAGATTGTAGGGAAAGTAACAGAGTAGACAGCATCTGAGTCAAGAAAGGAAAAATCAGCAGGAGTGTGCCGAACTGAGAAGAAAGGAAGCCACCCAATTATAAAGATTTGATTGTTCAACCAATATCTGAATAACCACGGTAGTGCCCGGCAGTATTCTAGAGACTGGGATTCTATGAGCAACACAAAGTCCCTGTTCTCCAAAAAATGATGCTCTAGAAGGGAGAGTGAGGAGACAGATAAACAAGTAAATGATCCAGAAATACTCAGTAAGCTATTTCTACCACACAAAAAAATAAAGTACGACTATGGACAAGAAACTGAAGTCTCTGAAACCGTGTCACCCGGTGTGGCCTGGGGCAGTAACAGTGAGCCTCACCTGAATTAACAACAGCAACAACAAGACTTACCATGCAGAGATCCTGGAACGTGAGCCTGGAGTTTTACCTAAATGCAACAGGAACCCAAAGAATTATATCTTTTTTTCTATTCAGATGATCACCCCCTCCTGCTGGTAGAGAATAGACTATAGGACAAGAAAGAAAGCAGAGACCTGTGGGTGGGCCCCCGCAGAGGCCCAGACAGAGACTAAGGCAGGCTGCCCTAGGGTGGCTGCGGTGACAATTGGGAGAGAAGAACAGATTCGGGATCTGCTGTGGAGGCAGAGGAAATGTCTCGCAGGCGAGGAGTGAGATAAAGTAAAGCAGAAAGTATCTGTGGCCGGACTACCTGAGGAGCAGTAACTAGTGAGCCTGGGAAGACTGGAGAGGAAGTGCGAGTGCTGGAGAATCAGGAGTTCGGTTTTGGACAAGAAAGAGGAGCTGACAATACATTCAAAAGGGACTCAAGCAGGCAACTGGACAGAACAACCTGGGGGTTTCTGAATCAGTCGAGGCTGGAGATGGAAATTAGGATAGCCAACAGCATACAGTTGGTATTGAAAACAACGGGGCTAGCAGTGAGCAACAGCAGGCGGGAGGGAGGCAGGGGGCTGAGTCCCTGCTCACCATGGCACCCGCAGGACAGACAGGGGACAGCATGTGACCACGAGAAGGTGTCTGTGAAGTTGTGAAAACACACGTCCAAGAAGCACTGAGTTCACAGCAATGTCACCCACACAACCTAGTCACCAGAGGGAGCTTACAACACAGGTGAAAGATGGGAAACAGTTCTCTTAACGTCCTTTTTTACAGCTCCCCCACCAACCTGCTAAAACTAGGGTGACCATCTCGTTTACTATTTTTTTTAACTCAGAAAATAACTGCTTTACAATACTGTGCTAGTTTCTGCCATCCAACAACGTGAATCAGCCATAAGTATACATATATTCCCTCCCTTGTTTTAAGTAATTTTCTATTCACTGATACATTCTATTTAGGAACTTGACCCTTGAGAATGAAAAGGCGAGATTTTTTAAACTTCCATCAGAGCAACAGCATAAAGCACGGTTGTCCCGGGTACCCTGTGAAGTAGGTTCATCCGTTGGAAAAACCCAAACGCTCCCATCAAATTTCTAAACGCCCTGCCCCATGCTCTGGGTAACATTTCCCAACAAAGCTCTCTGCCTTTTCTGTCAGAAATTCGCACAGAGAAAAAAAATTCAGGGGGTGGGAAGGTGAAAAGGAAATTCCACCCAACCCTATTTTGTATAGGAAGGGAACCGCGGGAGTCCTGAAGTGTTTCCCTGGCGACCACTGAGCCCCGAAATCAAATAAACTAGGCACTGGCCTCGCAGCCTGCCTACTTATCGCCCAGGAATCTCCACCTTTCCCGCCAGGAGGAAGGGAGAAACGCCAGCCCCCGCTCAGCCCTGGGCCCGGCAGCTGGGAAGCCCCGAGCCCGGCAGGTAGGAAGCCCTGAGGGTGAAAAGAACAGCGTCAAAGGCCCACCATGGCGGGCTCGAGTCCCAGCTCTGTCCCAACCAAAGGGGCAGGTTCCTTCTCCCGTCTCAGCCCCGGCGCGCCGGACACTCGGGCAGCGCGGCTGCAGAGGCAGCTTCCCTCACCCGGGCAGCCGGTGCAGCACTGACCTGCTTGAAGGTGCTGGTGAGGAAGTAGACCAGCGAGAGCCCGAAGACCAGGGCGAGCACCCACCTCTTCCGCAAGAGCCGGCGCCACACCATAGCCGCCAGGTTCACCATCCCGGCGCGGAGCGGGGCAGGCTTGGGGCCCCGGCGGCATGGCCCCTACGCGGCCGGCAGCCCCATGGCTCGCGGCGGGCGCCGGCCCCGCGGCCCTCAGCCCTGCCAGCTCCCGTCAGCCACCTCTCATCTCCCCACGTGACCCCGCCCCACGCACCGCCCCCGCACCTCTCCGCGTCACCCGCCGGGCCTCATGCAGCCTCCTCCTCATTGGTCCCCTACAGAGAGACGGATTCTTATTGGCTAAATCTCGGGAGGGGGTGGGCAATCATGTGCGTGCGGCCGGTGGAGCTATGCCCGGGTCTTAGCGCCGGACCTAGCGACCTGAGAGAAAAACCTGAGGAGAGGCCGGAAGCACTCGGAAGTCAGGTGCTCTCCGGGCCTCGCGAGTGATTGGCTTGGAAGGACGTGAATGATGCCGCTGTGATTGCTGAATCGTCTGTGCAGGTAAAAAGAGAACGTTATTACCCCCCGCCCCCGCCAGCCCCAGTATGGTCAGTGTCATCTGCCCTTGCAGTCCTAGAGCGTTTCGCGCTAAACGTTGGTTGCAGGAATGAAAAACGCCCACGGCATTGTATTCGAAGTGCACCTGCCTGCTTCCAATGCAAGTGATGCAGGAGATGCTCTCTTGCGTGCATTTCCGTGCAATCATGTAACGGCCTGGGGGTGCAACTTAAAATCTCCCATACATTGAAAACTCTTGGTGAAATCGTTCTTAGGAATGGAGTGCGATGTATGAAGCAGAGGGTAAAAAAAGCATTTCAATCAGTCATTTCAGAAGCATCCCACATGCAATCGTTTTATTCCAGAATTCGGTATTGGAATAGTTATGTATGGCCTGCTTCCAATACAGAACCTGAAGCCCCTTCGAAAGCAAGTATCTGAAAGTGGAATCTTGGGTATTTGATTTAGGAGGCTGTGGCAAATTTGTGGATAGAAACTTGGGATTTTTTTTTTTTTTTACAATAATTTGTTTGACTGTGCCGGGTCTTAGTTGCGGCATGCAGGATCTTCTATCTTCTTTGTGGCTTGCAGGCTCCTAGTTGCAGCAGTATATGGGATCTAGTTCCCTGACCAAGGATGGAACCTGGGCCCCCTGCATTGGGAGGACAGAGTCTTAGCCACTGGACCACGAGGGAAGCCCTGAAACTTGGGATTCTGTATTTTATTTTCCCCAAGGATTTGTAGGTGATGAGGAATCATTGTAGGGAGAGGGGGCATTAAGGCAAGATTGCAGGTTCTTGAAATGAATTTACAGGATATGTTCAGTTCAGTCCCTCAGTTGTGTCAAGACTCTGTGACCCCATGGACTGCAGCATGCCAGGCTTCCTTGCTCATCACCAACTCCTGGAGCTTGCTCAAACTCATGCCTATTGAGTCAGTGATGCCATCCAGCCATCTCTTCCTCTGTCATCCCCTTCTCCTGCCTTCAGTCTTTTCAAGCATCACGGTCTTTTCCAATGAGTCAGTTCTTCATATAGGGTGGCCAAAGTATTGGCACTTCAGCTTCAGCATCAGTCCTTCTAATGAATATTCAGGACTGATTTTCTTTAGGATGGACTGGTTTGATCTCCTTGCAGTCCAAGGGACTCCCAAGAGTCTTCTCCAACACCACAGTTCAAAAGTATCAATTCTAAAGCGCTCAGCTTTCTTTATGGTCCAGCTCTCACATCCATACATGACTACTGGAAAAACCATAGCTTTGACTAGACGGATCTTTGTCAGCAAAGTCCTCTGCATTTTAATATGCTCTCTAGGTTTGTCATAGCTTTTCTTCCAAGGAGCAAGCATCTTTGAATTTCATGGCTGCAGTCACCATCTATAGTGATTTTGGAGCCCCAGAAAATAAAGTCTCTCACTGTTCATTCATTGTTTCTGTATCTATTTGCCATGAAGTGATGGGACTGGATGCCATGATCTTAGTTTTCTGAATGTTGAATTTTAAGCCAGCTTTTTCACTCTCCTTTTTCATTTTCATCAAGAGGCTCTTTAGTTCCTCTTTCTACCTTAAGGGTGGTGTCGTATGCATATCTGAGGTTATTGATATTTCTCCTCGCAATCTTGATTCCAGCTTGTGCTTCATCTAGCCTGCCATTTCACATGATGTACTCTGCATGTAAGTTAAATAAGCAGAGTGACAGTATGCAGTCTTGACATACTCTTTTCCCAATTTGGAGCTAGTCTGTTGTTCTATGTTCGGTTCTAACTATTGCTTCTTGACCAGTATACATATTTCTCAGGAGGCAGGTAAGGTATTCTAGTATTTCTACCTCTTTAAGAATTTTCCAGTTTGTTGTGATCCACACAGTCAAAGACTTTAGCATGAAGCAGAAGTAGATGTTTTTCTGGAACTCTCTTGCTTTTTCTGTGATCCAACAGTTGGCAATTTGATCTCTGGCTCCTCTGCCTTTTCTAAATGCAGCTTGAACATCTGGAAATTCTCAGTTCATGTACTGCTGAAGCCTAGCTTGAAGAATTTTGAGCATTACTTTGCTAGCATGTGAGATGAATACAATTATGGGATAAACTTTCCTTCATATATGGAGATGGTGCTACTGACCAGTTTTGTTTTGTTTTGGGCTGATTTTCCAAAAAGAAAAAAGGCTTCTGTGGTGAATTGTTTCCAATCAGCAGCCCTGGTAACACCAGTACTGTCCCCTGAAGAAGGCTGGTCAGGATCAAGAAATCACTCAACAGCCAATTATAGTGCCCTGAACTAAGCAAGATATCATCTTTTGTTCTGGGCCAAGAAAATATTTAAGGAAGCTAAACCTATTCATGTAAAGTCTCTGGCTTTTATTTCTTCTCTAGAGTGAGAGGTCAGGAAGGAACAAGGGATATATAGAAAGAGGTAAAGTGAGAGACCCACTGATGTTTTACTTGTTTAGTATAGCTCTGTGCCAGGCAGTGTTCTACATGTGGAGGTGGAAGGGCAAACTAGGCAGACGGATCCTTACTTTTGTGGCATTTACATTCTAATGGGGGACATAGCATAAATAAATAGGCAAGCATGTAAATAACTGATCAATGCTATGAAGATAATTGAACAGGGCAATGATATTTTGGGTCAGGAAGGTGAGAAGAGATGACCTCTAGGAGGAGGTGACATTTGACCTGAGGGAGCTAGCCAGAAGGAAAAGCATTCCGGGGAGGGAACAGCAAGCACAAAGGCCCTGAGACAGAAACAAGCTGGCATCTTTGAAAAAACGAAAAGACCAGTGCAATTGATGGGGCTTGGTTAAAGGGAGAATGGAGGCAGGTACGGTTGGGGACAGGTGAGGCCTGCAGGCCAGGAACACAACTTTGATTTTATTCTGGTTACAGTGGGTCACCTTTGGAGGCCCTAAAACATGTCTGTGTTTCCCAGTCAGTACTCTGAGTTTGACAATACGGCAAACTATGTTCAGATCATAACTGTCCTCAGGAATACCAATGAGGGATCAATGGGAGGCTAACAAGGGATAAGGCGGCAACAGAACCATCTGCTTATAGCTCCCCATGAAGCCCCAAGACTTCCTAGGTTCAAGGTATTCCATGGACTAGTCACTTAAGTGTTCTGTGCCATCCAGGATTTGGAGTCTCTGATAAGCTCCTGTGACCCGTGTGTCCCTTTGGAGAGAAGGAAGAGGGAGAGATCTGCTTTCTCTGGAATCCAGTGGTCACATCCCCACCTGGAACCCTGAATGCCCATCTGAGGTGTCGTCAACATGGAGTTCTGAAGTCCATGTGGTTCCTCACAGTGAACCAGGTGACGTGTCTGCATGGGAATTCACATCTTCATTACCACTTTACCAAATGTGAGGGCTGGAAGGAAGCTCTGGGTTCAGACACTCCACCCCTCTCTCTTTGAACCTATGGGGACTCAGGCCACCAAGAGGTTACTGACTTGTCCACGGTCACACAGCAAATTAAGGGTGGCAGAGGTCCAGGATCTGTGTTTCCCAAATGTCTGTCTATTGCACCTCCTCCAGCACCTCTTTGCTTTATAGTTCACTTCTTTCTCCTCTCATGTGAAGACTTCCTTCACCTTCAAGTCTCATCCTTCTCATCCATGAATGACACTTTCCTCATGGGACAGAATGTTGATTTGAGGGTTGAATGACATAACAGACTGAAACCCAGTTTGCGAAATGTCAGAAAGCTCTAGGGATATAAGATATGAATAGTACTTATTTATGGTTACCATGGCAATCTAGGCACTGGGAATGTTGGGAGACTCTAGTTCATACCTGTGTTGACTTTTAGGTCTTAAGGAAAATGCAGAGACGCCACAGCAGCAACACAGAAAACGTTCCACCTGAAAGGTAGGCATCACTCTCATTCCATCCGAGGCTCTAAGCTTCAGGTGGTCGGGACAACCCAAAACTGGATTGAATATTACCTGCTCCTCAGGGCTACTTGTCAGAAGGGCAGAGGAGATCTGATCGGAAACTGCTTTGCACAAAGATGACCTCATATCCTCAACACACAACAGCTTGCTGTTGCTCTTACGGTAATTCTCAAAGCCCGTGCAGCCAGTGGTCCACTTGACTAACTGTATCAGTGATTGCACCCAGGGGATTTTAATGTATAGAGGTGTCTGGGTGGGAACATGGAAAGGCTGATGACCTTGAAAGAAGATTTTTATTGCTTACACTTCCCAAGAGAAGAGGGCATCCCATCCTACGCAGGGCCACATGGGGAAGTACAAGCGTCAGCCAGGAGACAGAAAGGAGCAAAGGGAAAGCATAGGTCACAGCTTTTATTGTGTTTTCCACAAAAAGTAAAGCAGGGCAAAGGAAACAGCTTAGCGTTGACTAGTTTGAATAATGTTGGTGGCCTCTAGGCTATAGGAGTGGTCTCTAGCTGTCTGATACCTGGCCCTGGGTGATTTGAAGCAGAGGAAATATTGGCTGAGAATGTGAATTAGATAAAGGAGATGGTTGGGGATATAGGCTCTGGGTCACAGGGAAGCTGTAAACAAGTTTGGCCATTAGTTTGACCCTGTAATGTGTGTGTGAAAGTGTTAGTCACTCAGTCGTGTCTGACTCTTTGCGACCCCGGTGACTGTAGCCTGCCAGGTTTCTCTATGTGTAGAGTTCTCCAGGCAAGAATACTGGAGTGGGTTGCTATTTCCTTCTCCAAGGGGATCTTCCTGACCCAGAGATCAAACCCAGGTCTCCTGCATTGCATGCAGATTCTTTACCGTCTGAGCTACCAGGGAAGCCCCAAAATGAGTAGATGCCAAATAGACAAATACAGAACCTAAGAAAACAACAGTTAAAACACTAATGAACTAGGATTTCTACCTACTTAAGCCAAAAAGAGTACAGACCGTGGGGCCCTGTTTTCAGGTTGTGACAGTCTCCCGGCCCCAGCCCTCTCACCATGCTGGAACATACACCCAAGGAGCTGGCCGCCAAGCTTTTCCTATTTCAAGTCCCGTGTGACTCTGAGGTTCACAGCAAAATCACAAAGTATTCACCAGTGCCAGTGTTGAGTTTTGCATGAAGCCTCCCTGTTCTCTGAGGAAAAACTCCTTTAGTCAGATAACCCTTCGACAGAATCCCACATCAGTCACTTCCCACTTCGGTGCCTTTGGCAAGCACCTTCACCTCTAGTGTCCCCATCTATAAATGGCAGATAATAAAACTCAGGGTTGCTTGTGAATGAGTGAAAATACATAAACACAGCACCAGGGATGTTTGATGAGCTGCGCCGTTGGAGCTTTTTCCAGCCTCCAAAGACAGAACTGCTCTCTGCTTTCAAATGAATGGTGAGATCTTTGGGGGAAGAGATGACACTGGAAAAGTAATGGCCACTATGACCCACGTACTTTCTTATGTCACCCTCATATTAGCCTGTGGAAGTCAGGACTGTTTTATCACCATTTTATAAATGAGGAAACTGGGGCTCAGAGAAGGTAAGTAAGATACCCGAAGTCACACAGACAAGAAGTGGCAGGGCTGAGATTCAGGCCCCAGTCAATTTGACCTCTGCAAAGTATATGCTTTGAGACTCTACATTTCAGCTGTCTCCTATTTTGGTGGGTTCACTATCCTTCCAGGTTGCTTCACATTCTGGCCTTTAAGTGGTTAAGTTGGAAGCTCAGCCTCTGCTCCCCCCAAGGATTATTCTTTCTCGTTTAGGCTGAAATCTCAACTGCATGCTGGGGAAAGGCCCAGGGAAGGGAGGCCAGCTATAAAAAGGCCCTTGGTGAGTTGAGCCTTCCCTGGTTGCACTAGAGGTCCCCTGAGCCCAGTGAGCTTAGAGTGCTGGCAAGCTCAAGGCGAGCAAGAGGTTTTCCAGGGCCCCTGGGATGGCGGGGGAGAGGGTGGCCGCTGTGGGCACCTGCCAGGACTCCTGCTTTCTCAGTTCAGCTTCTTAAAGTGCAGAAAAAGCTGAAGGCCCCATGAGGATCATAGCCATGGTGTTAGTTATTGTTATTATTATCTTTATCATCATCCCAAGCTCAAGAAACTAGTACCACACATTTCCTGGGCTTTTGGAGCCACCAGGGATGGGCCATGGGAGGTGGGGGAATAGGTAGCCATCTTCAAGTTCCCTCCCTTGCCTGGGCATAAAGTTGGTGGTTTATAATAACTTATGCCCAGGTCAAGTTTGTAAGGCCGGTGAGCCCAGCCCCAACATTTCTGCAGATCAGTATCTCCCCTGCCGGGTTTCACAGATGTTCTTCAAGATGTGAGTAGGTTTTCTGTGGAGGAAAATAATCCCGTAATCTAATAAGTTTGGGAAACACTAGGTTTAAATAAAGTTTTTCAAATTTGTTAAACAAAGTTCAAACAAATTTCTTCAATTGCAGGCCTTCTCAGAGCCTTTCAAAGCCTTTAGTGTACTTATTCATTCATTCTTTCAAGTAATATTTATTGAGCATATTCTATGTGCCAGGTTCATTGTACTGGGTCATGGCAATCCAGTGGAGGGCAGACAGTCGTGGTCTTTAACCTTGTGGAGCAGGGCCCACTCTGAAGTACCATTCTCAGTGCTGAGTACATGTTATAATCACCTGGGGGCTCTGAGGGAATAGAGGTACTGCGGCCCAACCTCAGAGATTTTTTTTTCAAGTTAGAATTAATATAACTTTAATGAATTTGTATACTTCTAAGTGTTTCTTTTTCATTTATTGGGCTTTATCTAGCTGTTTCATCTTCTAATGTCCTAGGCACCTGCTGTCGTCTAGGCCGCTGGCTGGGCACTGAGAATAAAGAAGTGAATCAGATACAGTGTGTGGCCTCAAGGAGCTTACAGTCTAGTAGGAGAACAGGCCATGTAAACAAATCAGTGTCCTGTGTTCTAACTTGTGGTATACTGTCCAACCCCAAAGATTTTTGATTCAGTTGGTCAACAGTAGGTCCAAGGCCTGTATTTTTCAAAAACTCCCTGAATGATCATAATGTACACACAGGGCTGAGAGTCCCAGGTAAGGAGTAAAATAACTATGATCAGTCCCATACAGAGGAGGTTAGGGTACAGTGAGGACAGAGAGCAAGGGGTCTGACATTGTCTGGGAGGTGGGCAAAGCTCCACCAAGCAAGAGAGATGTTTAGCTGAAATCTGATGGATTAGCAGGTTACCTGGTGGGACCAGGCGGGGGTGGGGTCCAGCCAGTGAAGGGGCTGGACTTGGCAAAGGCCCTCCAGTAGGAAGCCCTTGGGTCGTGAGAGATTGGAGTTCAGGGCCAAAGATAATCCAGGCTGTCCGCTGTGCTAAGAGACTCGGTTTCTTTATCTATAAAATGGGAATGATATTAGTCCCTATCTATGGGATTTATCTGAGACTGCAGGAAGACGTTTAGAATGGGAAACCCTTTTAGTGGGATAGTGAAATAATTGAATATATGTTGGGTGTTTATTCTTTTTATTCACTCTGTTCTCTGAGTGGGGGGTAGTTTATATAAGGTCAAGTGTGAAGGCAGTGTAAAACCTTCCCTGGAGCCTCCCTCAGGGGACATTTTATGCTTGGATGATAGCTGCCATGCATTTATTAAGCACCTACTGTATGCCCTGGGTTGTGGAGTCCAGAGGATGAGTGGAACTCAGCTCTCACTTGGAGTAAACTCGGGATGTTTTTGGTATACTGAAGGGGCTTGTGGAGGTGCCTTGGGGGCCCTCTTCTGGGGTGAGAGGAGGAGGAAAGGGTGGCTCTTTGCCCCTCCCACTGATGCAGCACATTAAACTAATCAGCTCCACCTGTTCTGTAGACTGATTCCGTTTAAAAAGGACAAGCCCAAGAGAAGACAGGACATCCAGGGCTCTGGGGCCTGGTGTTTATGGGAAAGGGCACCCAGTTCAAGGCTCTCTATCCTTGGAAGAGTAACTCTAGGCTCTCTGCTCCTCTGGAAGTGTCTCTGAAAGAGCATCATCATCCTTTATCTGATTCCAATATAAGAGGCTGTGCTTGGAACTAGAAATGGCAGTTGGCCCTGGAGGTTTTGCGTGGGGATAGAGATAAGGGTTCCCATTTACTTAGTGTCAGATATATTGAAAGGGGCATTCTAAATTTGATCCCCAGGAAATCTATGCATGAACATTGTTTATACCCATTTTCTAGGTGAGAAAACTGAGTGTAGGCTTGTTAAGATCCCTAGGAAGGGTGGAGCTAGTGTTCACATGTGGGTTTCTCCAATTAAATCTTCTTCCCATTACTCTCTGCTGCCCTCCAAATATCAGCTGTAACCAAGGTGGATCCTCTTGGGAACTGGGAATCATTGAACTTGGAGATGACAGAGCCAGGGGAACCTGAGTTCCTGAGGTTATTCTCAAATCGTAGGACCCTGCACTTCCTTTTCAGTGAAGTAAAGTGGTCAAGAAAGCAGACTCCAGAGGTAGCCTTCTGGGTTTGAATCTCCCCTGTTCCACCCCTTACCAGCTGTGTGACTTTAGACAAGTTACTTTTTTCTGTGCCTCAGTTTCCTGATCTGTAAGATGGGGGTATTATTAGTACCTAGTTCACAGGGGTTGATAAGAAGACTTAATGAATTAATTTAATGAAAAGCACTTGGAAAATGTATCTGGCACATAGTAAATTTTCAATGAAGATTATAACCCTATTGCTATTATTACTTGTATTAATTTGTGAGGGCTGGCCCTGACAAGGTGTTGTAGACTAGGTGGCTTAAACGATAGAAATTTATTTTCTCACAGTTCTGGAGGCTGGAAGTCCAAGGTCAGGGTGTCATTAGGGTTGGTTCTTCTGAGGCCTTCCTTGGTGGCTTGCAGATGGCCACCTCCTCCCTGTGTCATCATATCATCCACCCTCTCTTGTGTCTGTGTCCAGATTTCCTCTTGTAAGGACAAAAGTCATATTGGATTAAACTGTCAGTCGCTCAGTCATGTCCAACTCTTTGCAACCCCATGGACTATAGACCACCAGGCTCCTCTGTCTATGGGATTGCCTAGGCAAAAGTGGTGGAGTGGGTTGCCACGCCCTTCTCCAGGGGGATCTTCCCCACCCAGGGATCAAACCCCAGTGTCCTGCATTGCAGGCAGATTCTTTCCCATCTGAGCCACCAGTGAACCTGGACAAGGGCTGGCCCTAATAATCTCCTTTTAACTTAATCACCTCTGCAAAAACCCTTCTTCAAAAACAGCCGCATGCTGAGGTACTGAGGGTTAGGGTGTCAGTGTAGGATTTTCCCAGGGGAGGTGGCACAATTCAGCCCATAACATTATTGATACTGTCATTTGCCCCCCATCCTCCACTGCCTGACTTGGTGGGACTTCCTCCTCCTTTCTGGTCCAGAAATCGCAGCCAAGCGCTCAGCTCCGAGGCGAGTGTGGACGAAGGCGGCGTCTTTGAGAGTCTGAAGGCAGAAGCGGCCTCCCCACCAGCACTCTTCTCAGGCTTATCCGGCCTCCCGGCAGGCGGCCTCCCCACCACCCCGTTCCCATCCAGCCTGGTCCTGGGGGCCGCGGCCGGCGGTGGGGACGTGTTCCTGCAGATGCCAGCGTCCAGGGAGGAAGGCGGGGGCCGCGTCGAGGGGGGTGCCTACCACCACCATCGCCAGCCCCACCACCACTTCCACCACGGCAGCCACCGCGGGGGCTCCCTGCTGCAGCACGTGGGCGGGGACCACCGCTCACACTCGGACGAGGCGGGTGATGAGCAGCCTGGGACACCCGCCCCGGCCTTGTCCGAGCTGAAGGCCGTGATCTGCTGGCTCCAGAAAGGGCTGCCCTTCATCCTCATCCTCCTGGCCAAATTGTGCTTCCAGCATAAGCTCGGTGAGTGTGTGTGTGTGTGGGGTAGGGGGAGGTGGGGGGTGTGGGGATGCAGTGCTCAAAGCCTGCTACTTCACCCAAGGGGTTGGGGGTCTCCATCCCAAGTGCCAAGGGCAGGTAGTAGAGGTCCTTATGGTGCAAAGTCCTTAAAGGGCCAGGATGCCGCTTCAGACCTGGGTTCAAATCCTGGTCGACTAGCTGTGTGACTTGGGGCAAGGCACTCACCTTCTCTGAGCCTCGGTTTCCTCATCTGTCCAGCGAGAGTTGTGATAGAAACTTCCTCAGCTGGTTGGGTGACTTGAAGGCATCAAGGAGTTCAAACTGCTCCGGTCTGAACCTGAGTTCTGCCCCTTCCTAACTGTGTGATGCTGGGAACGTTATTTAACCTCCTCTCTGTGCTTTAGTCCCATCATCCATAAAGTGGGGGTTTAAAATAGTATTTGTACTATTCAGGGGTCCCCAACCTCCAGGCCGTGGAACAGTACCTCCTGTCAGCTCAGCATTAGATTAGAAGTAAAGTGCGTAATAAATGTGATCTGCTTGAATCACCCTGAAACCATTCCCCCATCCCTGACCTGTTGAAAAATTATCTTCCATGAAGTCAGTCCCTGGTACCAGAAAGGCCGGGGACAGCTGTACTATTTCATATGCTATTATATAGGTATCATAGATACACATATACTATAATGGTATGTTGCAGATACTATTATATGTGCAGCTTCTGCCTTCATAAGATTGAGTAAGGTTAAATGAGTAAACACATGTTAAGCCCTTAGGTCAGTGCCTGGCAGAGAATAAGTGCTGTGCAACTGTAGATGATTATCTTTATTATATTCATTGTTAGTACCTGTAAAATATTTAACGTGGAATCCTGCACATAGCAAGTGCTCAATAAATACAGCCTATTATTACTAGGAAGTAAAATAATGATTCATGAAGTACTTAGCATAGTACTTAACATTCAATAAACGTGGTCTCTGGTCCACTGTTATTAATTTCTGTTACTGGTATTAGATCATGATGTTGCTGTGCCCTGGAGAGTTTTAGGTTATTGTTTTAGGCTATGGTAGAAATTGCAGTGCAAATTATCTCATAGCCTAGTACATCCCACAAGAAATATCTAGAAGAGGTTAGGCCATCATTTGTGTCTTATTTGCCCCTTCCTGGTATGTTCCAGCTGACCCAGATCACTCCTTCCTTTTTGGGATGCTACCATATCAGTCCCTTCTTTTTTTTTTTTTCTTTTTGACCAATTAAAAAATGGTGACTTTTTTTGTTTTTTATAATCTGTGTATGCACTGGGTTCTGGGCCCTTCAGCACCTCCTTCCGAGTCTAGCGCCAGCTGGACTAGGGCTCCTGTGGCAGTGGGGCTGGTCCCCTTCTTGGGTGCCTGAACCCTTTCCCCAGGTGCTGTAGACAAAGCCTCAAGCGGGAAGTTCTGCCCCTTGCTTCTAAACTTTGCAAGCTACTGAGCCTCAACCCTTGCATGTCCCTGCTTTCTCCACCCCCTCGTTCTCCTAATGTAGGTAAAGAGTATACTATACACCTATACCTTTTCATGAAAGGAAGTGAGAGTGCTAGTCACTCAGTCATGCCTGACTTTTTGCAACCCCATGGACTATATAGCCCACCAACTCCTCTGTCCATGGGATTCTCCAGGCAAGAATACTGGAGTGAGTTGCCATGCCCTTCTCCACCTTCCATTTTATTCCTAGAGATAGAAGCTGGCCTGTTTCTTCTTACCCTGAATTCCAGCAAACTCACCACCAAGTTTTATTCCCAAGTTTGGTCATATTCTTTCTCAGCTGTCAGGTTTGTTCAGTTGATCAGAGAGTATAAGAAGGGATTGTGGGGTTACTGATTTTGATTTTACATGTTTTCAATAAAGCAACTCACCTTTTATAAAGTAGATCTGGAAGCATGCATGAAATACATGCACTATTTTAAAAGTAAAAGTGAACTGCAAGCATGGGAAATTGTGTACGTTGTGTAAAAGCAGAATCCTGTCCACAGGAACAAAAAGTAGGATTTGAAAATCCCTTTTCAGGGAGAATTCTGATTGTAGCTTAGCAAATTGTGGAATAAAACTCTGTTCTTCCCCCCCGCCCCAAAGGTCATGTTTTCCTGTCAGCTAGGAACTCTTTTCCCTTTTAACATAAAACTTCCATTTCTTATGGTGCTGTGGTCTTTTGCTACATATGCTTTTATTACAAATAACATGCCTCAGATTCTTTTTGAAAATAGAAATACTTTGGCTACCTGATGCAAAGAGCCAGCTCATTGGAAAAGACCCTGATGCTAGGAAAGATTGAAGGCAAAAGAAGGGGCTAGCTGAGGATGAGGTGGTTAGATAGCATCACTGACTCAATGGAAATGAATCTGAGCAAACTCCCAGAGTTAGTAAAGAATGGGGAAGCCTGGCGTGCTGCAGTCCATGGGGTTGCGAAGAGTGAGACACAACCTTGTGACTGAACGACAACCACAAACTGCTAGAGATTGTGCACTGTAAGCCGTATCCCTCCTTGAGTTCAGTTCTGTTATTATTCTGTTTTGACAGATGAGGAAACTGGGCTCAGAGAGGTGCAGTGACTAGTCCAAGCTCACACAGAGAGGAGGTGGCAGAACTGAGATTTGAACCCAGATCTTACCAGACTGCACAGCCCATACTAACTGGTCCTATAAAATACCCTCTCCCCAGTGGCCGCAATCCCATCCCTAAGTCAGAGGCCTCGAGGTTCCCAGCAATATCCATGGCAGCCCAAATGCCCCAGAGATGTGATTTTCACTCTCCTCTGTGGTTAGTGTGTTGACTCTGAGGGAAGCAGGTGTGAGTTCCGTGTCCCTAGTAAGCCAGGCCAAGCCTGATGCATCTAAGTGGGTGGTCTTGGCCCCTCCTCTGCCCCGCAGGCATTGCCGTGTGCATCGGAATGGCCAGCACCTTCGCCTATGCCAACTCCACGCTCCGGGAACAGGTCTCTCTAAAGGTGAGTCACCTGGCAAATCAACCTCCCAGCGCTGCTGTAACAAATGACCACAAACTCAGTGGCTTAAAACTGCCCAAGTGGGTTCCTCGTGGTTCTTTAGGTCAGAAGTCTGAAGTGGATCCCTCTAACCTAAGATCAATGTGTCCACCAGGCCTGTCTTCCTTCTGGAGGGTTCAGAGGACAGTCTCTTTCCTCGCCTTTTCCAGGTCCTAGAGGTCACTCACATTCGTTGGCTCCTGGCCCCGTCTCCTTTGAGGCAGCCACATTGCATCTCTGTGAACATCCTTTCATAGACACATCCCCCTTCTGACTCTGCTCTTCTGTCTTCCTCTTCTACTTTTTTTTGGACCAACCCCCTGGATAATCCAGGAAACTCTCCCCAACACAGGGTCAGCTGATTAGCAATCTTAATTCCACCTGTAACCTTTATCAACATGGAACTGAACAGATTCACAGGCTGCGGGAATTAGGACAGGTACACCTTTGGGAGTCATTCTTCTGCTCCTACCCTGGCAGCTCCCCAGATGTGCCACCCCTCTCCCTTCTAAGAGCAGCCTCTCCTCTCATGCCCCTAACCCAGTCCCCTTACCCTCCTGACATTCAGTTAACTCATTTCCAGCCCACCCTCATGGTTAAGGCCACCCCAGGCACTTCCGGGTTAAGTTAAGGCACAGTTAGGGCACTTCTGGGTGGCTGTGTGCGTTTCACCACCATCATCCCCAGTGCCTTCTGATACCCGCTGAGCACTCAATGTGTCCAGCACTGTGCTGGACCCATTTCACAGCTCATCTTGGAGATCTATCCCAGCAACTTGGGAGGCAGGCAGAATCACACTCAACTTATTTTTCCAGTGAGGAAACAGTGGCCCAGAATTTTCTTGGCTAAGATGTAAGGTTTCTGCCTAAGGCCCTACAGCCAGTGCAAAGCGTGGTGTCAGGATATGAATCCAGGCAATGTGCCCAGAACCTGTGCTCCCCCAGGTTCAAATCCCAGCCTCTACACCCTCCTGCAAGCCCTTAGAGGGGTGACCTCACTGAGCTCATCCTCAGGTGCCACCTCTGGGCAAGGAATTACCACATCCACTTCATTCACCCACTGAGAGGATTAAACAAAATGGTGTGTGGAACCGTGGTTTGTGCAGCACCTGGCTCATAGGAGCAACTTAACTGAGCTATTTTTTTTTTTTTAGCTATTTTTTTTTTTTTAACAAGCCTGTGTATTCTGCAGCACATGGGCTCCTATCATAGCCATGATCCTCTCTGACCCTGCTTTGGGGTCATATGCTTTCTTGGAAGCACCTATGCCTCCATGAGATGAAAATGCCAGCTCAGTCGTTATTTTAAACAAATGAGCACGTTGAAGTCAGGAGTAGGGCATGGAGCCAGAGGTTCTTCTTGACCCTCAGTCTCATCTTCTTCATGCAAACCCCTTTCTGGTGCTATTAGAACAACAAGTTGGGACTTCCCTGGTGGTCCAGCGGTTGAGAATCTGCCTTGCGATGCAGGGGACACAGGTTCAATCCCTGCTCAGGGAACTAAGATCCACATGCTATGGAGCAGCTGGGCCCACATGCCACAACAACTGAACCTGCACATGGCCACAACCAGGGTATCTGTGCTCTGCAACAAATGATCCCACCTGATTCAACCAAGTTCCCACATGCCTCAACTGAGACCCCATGCAGCCAAATAAATAAAATTTTTTTAAAAAAAAAACACAGAAAAAAACAACAGGGTGCACTGTCACAGAGGGGCGGTTGGGGCCGGCCCCTTCCCAAAAGCAAGAAAAACCCCAAGGGGCCCTGAACTGAAATTTAAAGAAGAAGGAAAGCCCGGAACCAAGAAAAAGCCTCCAAGGGGCCTTGCAACCCTTGAAAAATCAAGGGAAAGTTTGCCCAAAGGGGCAAAATTCAAGGGCAAGAAGGCCAAAAGAACCCTAAGTTAAGAAACCCAACCTAACCCCGGAAAAACAACCCAACTGGCCCCAAAAAGCCTGACTTCTCAGGGCATTGCTCATTCCCTCTGTCTTCTACTTTTGGTTTGGATTTACAGGGGATGAAACTGGAATCTATTATTTATTGGCATAAAAAGGGCTGCTGAGTGGATTGATCACATTGGTAAGAGCAGTTGGTTGGTTGGAGGTGGTTTCTCGGGCCGTTAACCTTGACCACTCCTGGAATAATGGGTGGATGGAGATGCTTTTATTTTGTCTGCTCTATGGAAATGTGTGTTGTAACAGTGTGTGAAGTACTGAGCTGTGTCTGGAGACTGGAGCATTTACCGAAACCACAGGGAAGGTTACACTGGGAAAGTTATGACCTCATCTTATTCCAGCAATGCAGCCGCCCCGGTCCAGGAAGAGACAAGCTTTTGAGAATCAACAGCACGGGATCTGATTGTGTATCCCAGGGTACACAGGCAGGAACACCCTGCTGTATGCTTCCTCTAGAAATTTCCTGGGTTTGCTCTCAGGCCGAGAGACTACTGAGAAAGCAAACTGAAAAGGTTTCCCAGCTTGTCTTCCTGGGAACTAATCAGAAACAAGTCTGAAGAAAGAGAAACCGGGCTGGATCGCAGAGGGCTTTGACGTCGATGTGTATGAAGCTAACTGTAGTCCTACAAACGTGCCCCTGTGCCTGAATGGTCAGTCCAGAAAGGTGCATACAAAAAAGTTAGAACAGCAGTTTCTGACTTGTTGGTCTGAATCGAGTGGTGGGTTGTGAAGTAGGAATAACAGGTCCTGCCACTCAGTGACCCTGAAACACGTTCCTGTGCCCGACTAAATGTTTACATTCATCAAGTTTACTTAAACCTTAACAAAACCTCACTTTTGAATAAGGGCACTAGACCTTAAAATATGTACCACTAAAGGACTTCCTTCGGAGAAGGCACTGGCCCCCACTCCAGTCCTCTTGCCTGGAAAATCCCATGGACGGAGGAGCCTGGTAGGCTGCAGTCCGTGGGGTCGCGAAGAGTCAGACACAGCTGATGTGACTTAGCAGCAGCAGCAAAGGACTTCCTTGGCAGAGCAGTGGTTAGGACTCCACGTTTCCACTTCAGGGGGCACGAGTTCAATCCCTGGCCAGGGAGCTAAGACTCCACTTGCCTCACAGTGTGGTCAAAAAAAAAAAAAAAATGTTATTAAAACATGCGCCCTTGAGCAAGAGTTGCTTAAATTCTCCGTGCCTCAGTTCCTACCAGTAAATGTAAACTAGCATTTCCTATATGCCAGTCACCGTTTAGTCACTGTTCTAAACGGTTCATGTACATTAGCTCTCATGACTTTATAAGTTAAGATATAATATGCACCCTTTTTGCAGATGAGGAAAGAGAAATGCAGCGAGTTTAAGTAATTGCCCAGGGTTGAACAGCCCCCAAGTAGCAGATCAAGGATTTGAACATACGTCCTCCAGCTCCAGAATCAGTTTTGCTAACCATGGTGCCCTCCTGACTCTGGATAGTTCTCCAAGCAGGTTCACACATTTCTGTTACCTTCACTGTAACCATTGCTTGGGTTCTAGTGGGATGGAAAGATGCCAACACCCTTCCTTTCACCATTAGCCATGTTTCCTCCAAACCTTTGAGAAAGGGAACATTTGCCCCTTGTTGGGGAGCATTCTGGAATATTCTGCCAGGTGTACCTTTGACATTTTAGCATCCCCACAGATCTCTCGCTTTGTCTCCAGGAGAAGAGGTCGGTGCTGGTCATCTTGTGGATCTTGGCCTTTCTAGCGGGGAACACCCTTTATGTGCTCTACACATTCAGTTCCCAGCAGCTGTATAACAGGTGAGCAGAGGAGTCTGACCCTCAGTGGGAAAGTGGGGAGCTTTGTTGTACTTGGGACCCACAGCCTCTTCATTGGAGAATGATATAGCAGCCCTCAGTCACACTGTAACCTTCAGATCCCACCCTGTTGTTAAGTGCACACATGCCTAGAGCAGAATTCTTGAGCAGAAATAGAATGCAAGCTGCATGTATAATTTTGCATTTTCTACTGACCACCTAGTGCATGAGGGGAAAGGACTAGCCAGTGACAGTCTCTAGTTCAGGGTTGAAACTCAAGCCAAGCTTTCAGATTATGTCCATCTGTTTTGAAAATGGACTTTGAGGAGTAAGCAGTTTCACCACTTTCTGGGGCCACCCAAAGATGCATAAAAGCAATTTGGGGAATTCGTTCCAAGGCATCAACATGCCTCTCACACATTGCATTAGTTGCCCAGCCCAGAAGATCAAGGTCCTGGTGGAGGGTAAAGGAGATGGAGTTTCCCAGAACCTTGGATGAATTTCCAGCTCGTGCCATTTTCTGGGCATGATCACATTCGCAGGCTCAGACCTCTGTGCCCTCATCAGACCAGGGCTGAGTCAAACTGGCAGCACATGAAAAGAAAGAGAGTGGCTTGGTGAAAAGCAATAGAGTGCCTTCCTTTTTGATGTCAGTGGTCTAGAGTGTGTTTGTAAGTGATACCAACAGCCATTATCTTACTTTGCTTTCCAAGTGAGCAGGGTATTGCTCTTGCCATTTTACAGGTAAGGAAACTGAGGCTTAATGAAGCCCTTTTTAATGAACCTTAGTCCTGGTAGGTGAAAGCAAGTTTGAATCATCCCAGGATTTGAAGTCTGATGACCAGTGTCAAAAGGTCATAGTCCTGCCACATACTAGCTTGTGCCCTTTGGAAAACAGTGGAACCTTTTTGAACCTCCCGCAGTTTCTGTGTTTGTGAAACTGGGAGCAAGTTAATTGTTGCTTTACCCACCTGAACAGGCTAATGATTAGAGAGGCCAAATATTACAATATGCAGAAACTACTGGGCAAACTGTACAACATTTGATATGTCCTAATCATGTCATAATATTATTGTTTTATGATGAATTACCATACCTTTTGGTGGTGGTGCCTAATGGGGTGGAAAACTAACAATAAAATGTATCCGTCCATTAAAGTTCATAGTGTATGTTAGAAATAAGTGGGTGTAGTGATCAATCTGTGGAAAAACACTTTGGCATCTTTCCGGCGTCAAAGCCAACAGAAAAACACGAAGATGATGAAGTAAAACCCAGGTAGGTGAATGTAACAGATGGGTGTCTCTGGGATAAAATGGAAAGTGGATGGCACGTCTTCATTTTTTTCGCAATCAGAGATGCATGCATAATAGAGAAGCAGGGCGTGAAAGTCAGCCCGCCAGCCTGGGATATGCCCAGGCAGGGATAAGAGCAGAGATGAAGAGAGGAGCTCAGGGCCGCCCGCCTCTCCCCATATTGTAAACTGGGTGCCTCTCAGACTTGGAGACGAGGCATCCCATGGAGATGGGGCTCAGATGTGGAAGGACACTGATGGTGTCATGAGAGATTGCCAAAATAGATTGTTTTCATTGATTTAGCCCATAGTCTAGCTCTTCAAAGATCTTTATTATAAATAGAAATTGATTTTTAAAAAGTAAAAAAACAGACCATTTGACTCCTAGAATGCTCTCATCAGGGGACCTCAGTTTGCACTGTTGTCTGCCAGCCCAGCAGAGTATGTGGGAAGAGTTTAGAAAGCACTCAGTCTGGGCTGTGTGCACTGTCCCCTGCTTTTGGGGGGACAGGCGAGACTCGGAGTGGCCTTTGCTTGGAGCATTTAATCCGGCAGAAAGAAAAGCAAGGGGCCCAGCACAGTTTGGGTGCTGGTTCCAATCCTAGCTCCACATTCTAGCTGAGATACTGTGGGCTCCATGATGTCATAGAACTCCAGACTCCCCAGCTCAAAATGCGATAATCATAGTGCCTACCAGTTAGAGCCTTTGGGAAGATGAAATGACTTGAGACACAAATAGCAGGTGGAGTAGGGCCAGCGTGATGTAAAGAACCAAGATATTGTTAACATAAATAATATCGTCATCTGCAGAGGTGACAGACAGCAGTGCTGCTCCACGTGTGGGCCATGACTTTTTGTCTGTCTCCCGTGAGTGAAGTACAGAAGTTGAGTGTGAGGTTGCCTTACCTGGTCACGGATGGGTAAGAGGGATTACACACTCCAAGCAGCCCTACTGTAGAGTAAGGACTGAGGGCAGTGATTGTAGCTAGCACGCCTGGGTTCAAATCTACCACTGTTCCTTCGTATTTGTAGGACTATGTGCATGTTCCTTTACCTTTCTGTGCCTCCGTTTTCTCGTCTGCAAAATGGGTAGGTAGCAGTGCCTGCCTCGTAGAGATGTGGTTATCATTATCAGTACTGCTTGGCAGAGTCTGTAGTATGTCTATTATCTCATCAAATCCCACCAATAACCCTAGGAGGGACAGAACGATTCCCATTTTATTGATGAGAACACTGAGTCTTATAGAAAGAACATGATTTGCCTAGTTCAAAAAATGGAGAAGCCTGGATTCAAATTCAAGTCTGTCTGATACTCATGACCATATGCTTAGCATGCAGTATGACTTTGGGCAACTTACCTCTCCAAGCTTTAGTGCCTCATTTATAAAGTGAGGGTAAGCAATGCCTACTGCACAGAACAATAAGATACAGTGAGTAAAGGGCTTAGCACACTGTCACACATCAAAACCTTCCTCCCTGCTTCTCTGTTTCCCTCCTTCATAGTGTTGGTCAGCTTTTTCTCCTCCCTCCCTTCCTTCCAGTTTCTCTTGTGAAGCCTGTTGTGGACCCATAAAACTGGAGGGGATTTTAACTTATGATGTTCCAGGCCAAGCTCATCATTTACTCTCAGGGGAACTGAGGCTCCGAGAGGTTAAAATAGCTACCCGAGGTCACACAGCAAGGTAGTAGCATATTCAGGAACAGAGCACAGATGTCTGACTCGTAGTTTAGTGCTCTTTCTACAGGTAATATTTACAAGGTTCCTAGAGTGAGTAGAAGGAGCTGCCAAGGGCCAGCGTTCCTAAATGAGCACTCTGACACTCTGACTCCTCCCCTAGCCTCATATTCCTGAAGCCCAACCTGGAGACGCTGGACTTTTTCGACCTGCTATGGATTGTGGGCATCGCAGACTTTGTGCTCAAGTACATCACCATTGCTCTCAAGTGCCTCATCGTGGCCCTGCCCAAGATCATCCTGGCCGTCAAGTCCAAGGTAGGCACAAGTGGCAGCCCCCATCACACTGATCATGCAGGGGTTCTAGTGCGCCTCCTGGAGAAAGAAAGGTTGGACTTGAGCAGAGCTGATGTCAGGTCATCAAATGAACAGAACCTGAACTGGTAGATCCATGACCCACCTCTCATCATTGCTTGAAGCTGCGCATCATTCTTTATTGTCATCACCCTCCTGTCACGTCTCTACTCTCCAAGTGCATTTCCTAAGTCTTATTGTTCAAAGATGGCCTTTGAACTGCAAAGATGCAGTTTTCATCTAAATTCCTCCTGAGAAAGGAAAAAAGCACACCGACATGCCCTGGATCCTGCTTTTCATATGGAAGGGTGGCTCTCACAGGTCTCACTCTTCGTGGCTTCTGGGGCATGTTCTGTAGGGGTAGCCGAGGCTCAGGAGAAAAGAACTCTGTGATCTATGAGTGATGCTTGCCATGGCTGCAGGAGGAGAACTGGTGACAAGGATTCTTTGCAGTGTCATCTTAGGGAAAGGTCTGCAACAGGTGTTGGTATGAGGAGGTCTCGGGGGATAATCATTGTAATTCAGAGAACTGGGCAGTGTTAGGAAGAGACATCATCATTAGGTCAGAAAGCTCAAAATTTATCCCAGGCCTTTCGGGCAGAAGAGCAAGTTGGAATTGACCGTTCGTTTTGAGTGACAGCTGGTCAAATCACTGGCCAGGTGTGTAGGAAAAACACACTCCTGTGTTTCTTCTGTACACAAGCATGCTTACTACCTCTGACACCAGACATGTGGGTTTCCCACACGTCATGTAATTCTCTGACACCAGCTGGGTGTTCAACAGTTTATCTAGTTCTGACACCATCCACTTCAAGATAGTATTAGATCCCACGGGAGAAGGGCTTAGTCCCACCAGGCTTCTCCTGTCCCTTCAGATGGCCAGTCACAAGCCCCAGGTTGTCACCTGTGCTTCTGATCAACCAGCCACAAAGCAGGGTTCCCATGACCCCCTCCTTGGGTTCGGTCATTTCTAGATGCCCTGAGCCTTTTCCTTCATAGCAGTTGTGACACTTTGTGGAAGGCAGGAGATGTGAATCCAAGCATGTGAGGAAGCTGGCTTAACACTGACGGCCTGGAATAACAATGGCTTGCAATTATTAAGCGCTGGCTGTGAATCTGAGACTGTGCTGTGTGTGCCTAGTCACTCAGTCATGTCTGACTCTTTGCAACCCCATGGACTATAGCCCGCTAGGCTCCTCTGTCCAGGGAATTTTGCAGGCAAGAATACTGGAGTGGGTTGCCATGCCCTCCTGCAGGGAATCTTCCCAACCCAGGGATTGAACCCAGATCTCCCACATTGCAGGCAGATTCTTTATCATCTGAGCCACCAGGAAAGCCCAACAATACTGGAGTTGGTAGCCTATCCCTTCTTCAGGGGGTCTTCCTGACCCAGGAATTGAACTGGGGTCTTTATGTATGAAGGAATTTATGTATGAATTCCTTTTGTAGTCTCTTCAGTTCCTCCCAGGGAGATACTGTTTCTCTCATTGATGATGAAACGGAAGGACAAGCAGCTGTTACGTGGTAAGGGTTGGGACTCCAGCCCAGAGCTTCAGCTTCAGGGCCCAAGCTCTGCCTCAAGGTAGCTGTGGGAGAAAGATAAGGAAAACAGGCAGAGGATGGTTACTCTTCACCTAGTACACTCTGCTTCTTGCTAGATTCTTTTCTACACCTTGACTTGTGTAAGGCTCTCAGTACCCCTCTGAGAGAGAGAGATATTATGATCAACTCTTTCCAATGAAAAGCTGAGCACGATCACCCCTCAGTATCTGTGATGGGTTGGTTCCAGGATTTTCCTCGGATGCTCAAGCCACTTATGGTTGTCCTTCTGCATCCGCGGTCCCATGTCCTTAGATTTTTACATGAGATTGGCTGAATCCACAGACGAGGAACCTGTGCTTCAGTTAGACCAGACCCTACTTCTTTCATTCCTTTCCATACACCAGCTAGTCCCAATCTGACATGTGGCAGATGCTCTTATCCCATTTTCCACATGAGAAACCTTCAACACAGGGATGCTGAGTAACTAACCCATACAGCTTCCAGAGCCGGCTCTGTGCTGCCCTTTCTCCTACCCACTGATTCTTCTACCTCAGAGACCCTTTTTCTTTCTTGTCTCTTAACCAATTCACGCTCCTCCTACAGATCACAGCCTCTTAGACATCTTCCTGCCCTTTAGATGAGGGATGGTGCTCCTACTGGGGCTCTCCTAACACCTTGTTCTCCCCCTGTTCCAGTACTCACCACTCTGACCGTAATTGCTTGTTTAATTGTCTGCCTGCTCTGCTCAACTGTAACCTCTGTGACAGCAGGAAATGAATGTATCTGGTTTCTTTGTTGATAGATCACCAGTGTCTGATATGCACTCAGAAATGTTCATTGTATGTAGATATGGGGAGTAGATGGATGGATGAATGGCTGTATAGGTAAATGGGTGAACTGAATGGATAGCGGGGAAGGTTGGTGGATATGTGGATAGATAGATCATCAAGTGATTGTGTGGATAGATGGATGGATGGATATTTGGATGTTGGATGGATAGTGAATGGATGGATGGATGTTTAGATGATGGATGGAGAGTTGAATGGATAGATGGATGGATGGATATTTGGATGGAGATTTAGAAGGATGGACGGACAGGTAGGTAGATGGATGGGTGAGTGGATGAGTTGATAGTCTAGCTAGCTACGCTAACTCTCATCACCTCCTCTTATAACTGCAGTGAGAGCTTAGACTCCATTGTCAAGTCAACTCAGACCTCTTATGTCTGGTAGATGTCCAGACACCCTGTTGTGAAGACACCAAGACCTGCAAGGCAAAGTAGTACTCACTTCCCTGTGCTAGAAAGGAATACGCAGGGGCCTTCAAAAGATACAGCCGCCAGACCAGTAGTAATAAACACAACTAAACATTGCTGAGCAGCTACCAGGAACCAGGTCATGTTTAAGTTAAGCACTGCCACTTGTTCAAGAAACAGTTGCTAAATGCCAGCTGTGTGCCAGGCACTGTTCTAAGCACAGGGGTATATCAGTGAACAAAGTAGACAAAAATCCACATGCTCATGGAGTTGATAGTCTACTGAAGACATTGTCTTGTTTAATCTTAACAATCCTGGTAGGTAGATACTGTTGATACTTCCTTGCCTGCACGGAGCAGACACTGAGTTAAATAATTTGCCGGAGATCGCAAACCCCAGCATAATAATGCCCGTGGCAGTAGGAGCAGCTGATGTGGAGTCAGGCCTTCATGTGGGCCAGGCCTGGCTCTAATTCATTTTCCTCTGACATCTGTTCTAGAAGGCAAGTGCTGTTGTTTTGTGGGTTTTTAAAAATCGAAGTAAAATTCACATAACATAAAATTAACCAGTAATTATTTAAAAGTGTGTGATTCAATGACATTCAGTACATTCACTGGCAACCATCACGTCTATCTAATTTTAAGACAATTTTCATCACCCCAGCAGAAAACCAACCTCATACGCATGAGAAAACCTGATACTCCTCCTTCCCTCTGACAACCACCAATCTGCTTTATATCTGTATGTATTTACCTTTTCTGGGCATTTCATGTAAATGGAATCATACATTATGTGACCTTTTGTGTCTGACTTATTTCCCTTAGCATCTTATTTTCAAGATTTATCCACATTGTAGCAGATGTCAGCACTTCATTCCTTTTTATGGTTGAATAATATTCCATTGTGTGGAGAGACCAGCATTTGTTTATCCATGCATCCCTTGATAGACATTCAGGTTACTTCCACTTTTTGGACATCGGGAATAGAGGTGCTTTGAACATGTGTGCACAAGGATCTCTGAACACAGTTTTTCTGGGTAATACTTAAGAGTGGAATGGCTGGGTCACATGGTAATTCTGTGTTTAACTTTTTGAAGAACCACCACACTATGTCCCACAGCAGCTATACCATTTTACGTTCCCCGGTAGGTGCTAGTTTTATCCCTGTTTTCCAGAGGAAAAAACAAATGCAGTGAGAGGTTAAGAGGCCCAAGGTCATGCAGCTTATACACGGCTGAGTGGGGATTTGAACTCAGGCAGTCTTGATTCCAGGACCGCTCTGAATCACTAGACCACATTCCCTCCCAGGAAAGTTCTCTGCGTTTGCCTGGGGAAATTCCTGCATTGACTGAGGAACGATGTCCCCATACACCATCTCTAGAAAATCCCCCCAAGGTTCAGACAAAGTTTTCCTCACTTCCATCTTCTTCGACGGGCACTGCTGGGGGTCAGGGGGCGGGGATGGGATTCGGCACCCCTTCCCTGCACTGCTGAGGTGTGGGCGACAGTTATTAATGCCTCCCTGGCAACTATCCAACTCCCTTTTTCTGATTATTATTATTTTATTCGGCGAGATTAATGTGCCAGGTCAGAGCAGAATCCAGCCTGTAAGGAGTGATGTGAATAGTCTCCTCAAGATAAATTGCAGGCTTGGAAAAGGTTCGCAGCCTTTCCTTGCCTGTCTGAGTGCTCTCCCGAATCCTCATCAATCCTTGTCTGGGCAGAAGAAAAGGACGGGTCTTCATTTGCAGCTGGTGGGGGGAGGGGAAGGCACACATCTGTCAGGGACCCTAATGGCTCACAGCACAGATGCTCTTTCCTGCGCCTCCATGCCGTCCACTGAGAGGGTGGGTTGGTTTTTAATATTATAATCATTGTATTGGAAGGGCTTCTGGAATTTGGGTTTGCCTGATGGCCCCACAGTCCCTGATGTGTGAGGCCGGATGAGCCACCGATCCCCACATGCGTCCAGAAACCAGAGGGTCTGTCCGGGATCTTCTCACACCTGGGCCTCCCAGGATCTCTAGGCTCATTGGCCAGCCAAGAAGGGAGGTGGGGTTAACAATGGTGACCACCCATCTGTAACCTCAGCCCCAAACCATCACACTGGCCGGATGACTAGAGCAGCCACTTGTCATCGTAAATCTAGATAACTTATACAACCCATA